TGATTTCGTCAATCATTTGTCTTTGCAGGACAAGGGAGGAAAGTGTCGTTTGTTTTGAATCAAGATTTCCATAGTGGTTATGCAAATGAGAATTCAGCGGCTTACAACATTCTTGCAAACAACGTGAAACAAGAGGTGAGAAATAATTTGTTTTGATGCTGATAACTAGAGAAGAATCAAGCTAATAAAGGACATCCTGATTTCAAAACCTCGTTCACATAAGTCTGCAGGTGTTCAAAATGAGGACGCAGCCTACCGCTCCTGGGTTGAAGTTGTCACAATAGGCCGAGTTCCGAGTTTCAAAAACCCCCAAATTCGATATGAAGACAGGAACTAAACAATCCTTGTGCAAACGAATTGTGTCTGTTTGAGAATAAAACTCATTTTCGTATGACAGGCTTCACCCTTGCCTTCGTTTTCAAGCAAATTAAGGGTCACGTTAGGATATGAGTGAGACACTTACGTGTTCTATCTTTTTTTACCTTTTCTTCTTTTGTATCACAATGGCCTTATTTGGCACAAAAATACGTACGTAGACTTATCGTAGTGGACGTTAAGTTTACAAATTCAGGAATATCGCTCGGTTGATATTCTCAGATATCACGCTGTTTTAGCTGGGGGATATTCGTTCACGTGCTGCGTTAAGACCAATCGCGCGCGAGCAAAAAATATTTGATGGATCGTAAACTTTGATATTTACATTTTTCACATACAGGTTGAAAACGCTTTAGGTAGTAACGCAGTGGTCTCCGAAATCGCCTTCTCGTAAGTGTCTTTTTTTCTATGAAAGGAGAAATTTAAAATAATAATAGATATTTTTTTTTCATTTGGTCATAGGGTTATATTAAAAAACGTTCTCAATTTCTTATGGTCAATTATGATATATATGGTATATCTGATATATCATGCTCCATAATTGGCATCTATCGTAACCAATCAGATGCAAACTCGAACCAATCCCCACTTGGTCACTCGCGCTTTTCCGCGCTTCAGGCATAGTTTGCTTATTTTGACTTTAAGTTCTTGTTAGCTCCTTGTGACGTTTTTTTTTAATTTGGCAGTCCCCACCCTCCTCCCCTTAGTTCCTTACCGTTTGGCTTTTAGGACACCCATTTGTGAAGCGCTTTTATGCTTGAGGCCATGACAATGAAGTTTTCCTAATCGTTCTCTCATTATCACCATCACAATTCTGTCACGCGTTGCGTTACCAGTACTAATCGGGCATGCTGGGAATGTTTTTGGGGGAGCGGTGTCATGTGCTAGCGGTGTATACACATTCCTGTTTCACCTTGAAAGTTTACTAAAATAAATCACGGAAACGGCCTCGTCTTCGATAATCCTAACCTCTACTAGGGGCCGAGACTACTGGACTACAACAAACACTATTTTTTTTCTCCTCAACAGAGAGGTTCGTGAGCCGATATCACACTCACCTAGATTCTCCAAGGTAATGGTCTCTTTCAAACTTCTCGGTGACGTCGCGAAACTGGAGAGAAAAGTCAAGAAAGGAATGATCAATGGTCTAGTTGTGGATAAGACATTTTTCCATGATGCGCCTTGAATATCAAGCAAGGATTCGCGGAAAATTTTATAGGTTTTAAAGACAAAAGATTATAGACTACATGTGACGTTTTAAATGTATTCCGACTACGACCGGCTAGTTCCCAGACCCGTCTCTCCTCCTCAATCTTCCCTTAGAAGTGCAAAGAAGAGAGAGTCTGGGATCGAGGATGATTCAAAGACTTGAAGAAACAAACAAACATTTTTTTCACCGAGAAAAATCTACCATCAATCTTCGAAGTCTTTTTTGACCCATATGCTTTAATTTTCTTCATCTTAGGGCATCCTTGTTTCCTCACCAGGGTCTATTTTTTGTTTTTACTGTGTTTTTCTATCTTACCAAACAATCTCAAGGATTCCATTAAGTTGAACTAAATATAATGGGTTAACGTAAATTGGCCACCGTAAAGAGTTTCGTTAACCCTTCGTCAGAGCAAAGTCCTGTCCTATCCTTCGCTCTGAGAATGGGCTAACGCTTAAAATGTCAGCTTTGAAACTCTTTACAGTGGCCAATTTACGTTATAAACTCGGTTGATAATACTAAATTACTCTGTTATAATCCCCCACCGACGCAGCACCACAGTGTCTTTAGAAACTTACCTCCTTTTTTCATAAATATAATGTCCCTGGTTATTTATATTATAAGGGAATTATTTCTGTTGTCGAAGCTAGCATTATGTTGAGTAAACCTTGACACTCCAGGACTGATATACTCCAAATGATTCAAAACTTTTGAACTGATCCATTCTTGGCTGATTTTGACGTTTTCCAAAAAAAACATGTCAAACAAAAGATCGATTTTTATATTTTAAAGTAGAACCTCTTGTAAGGTTCTAAGGTAATCCAAATGACAGGTACGTTATATAATTACAAAAAGCATAGGGGGAGATAGGTATGTAAGGCGTTTTAGGCATTTAAGTTTTTGTAATACAACTAGGGGTCAGTTAATTTATCAAATGTAAATCCAGAATTTGCTTAGGTTCGAAATGAAAATGAGTTGAGGAATTAAAATTAAATTGCTATTCTCAATTCAATTCAATTCAATTCAATTTTATTTGTTAGCAATACAATATTATCACAGTCCTAGGTGACCCGCAATTAGCAAGCTATTCTAGGCGGGCCACCCTTCTAAAACAAGTGCTGTCTCTGCTAAGGATCACATACCGATACAATTAAACAAAGATAATCATTAATAAAAATACAATTGTTAAATAAAATAAAATAAAATTAAGTCCGTTGAATAATTAAATAATCAATTGCAAAGTTATCAAGATATATAATACAATTGAAACAAGACTTAAACGAAGAGTTACTTTATCAAGAGATATTTACAAATTTCTGAGCAGCGTATATCAACATTCATCTCCTCATTTTCCAAAAGTTTTAACAGGCGATTTTTAAGTTCACGCTTAAACGGGGTTCTGTTTTTAATATGAAGTTCTTTTGGGATGCTATTCCACAATCTTACACCTATTCTAGCAAAAGAAAATAAAAGTTGGTTAGTTCTAGACGCTTTAACGTACAGATTAGCCGTTGCTGAGAATCTTGTGAAATGGTGATGAACCTGCTCGGAGTGGATAAAGAGCATAGAAATATTAGACGGGGCACGGTGATTATCAATGTCATGCATCAAAGAGGAAACCAAATGAGAATAGAGCATAGTTATTGGTAAGATTCTGGAGTTAACAAATAGCGGGGCACTATGAGATTTGCTATCCGCAAAATACATTAGTCGTAGAGCACGTTTTTGTAAAATGAGAACCTTATTTAAATGAGTGTTAGCAGCTTGTCCCCAGGCAATAAGACCATAAGAGATATAGGGTTCAATTAAGGAGCGGTAGATGTTAAGAAGTGTGGCAAAATATTCTTGTGATACGTAAAGGTAAAAATAATTTAGACACCGCATATCAATTTGTCAGGGCTCCCATTGATAACAGACGGCTTTTTGCATCTGAAGGGGCTACCCTGATCGGTATAAATCAATAAAGGTTCTTCACTCCAAGTGTAATTAGTGTAGATGACATATAACTTTCAATAAAATTATCAGGTATAACAAGTAAACGATAGTGATTTGTTTTTTAGTTGCTAGGATTTTCTTAGAATGGATCGCGATTGGAGTTTGTCCTAGCCGTTAAGATCGGGTAGTTCAGTTCCAATTCCTATTTTAAGGCGATACGAAGAAAGGAAATTTGTAGAGGGGTGGTCCATCGTTTGAGCAGGGGGCTCTGCTTAGGTTCTTTGGCCTTAACTCTATTAATGATTCCAAATAATCCCCGTTTCTTCCTATGATGATTATTTCAACGAATTAAGTTGTTTAAGGGCCTTTCCGCACTAGCGAAAATTTTGTTTATTTTTACAAATTTTCTGTCGTTACCAACATTTTACAAGTACGGATGGTTTGTCGCTACTTGACAAATTTTGGCCGAAGCGGACAAATCTTCAATCGCATCGCCGACAAAATTTGTCCAGCGTAAAAACTGGACAAAATTGGCTAGATATACAAAACTGTGATAAACTTGTCAATCGTTTGTCGTAAAAGCTACGACAAGAGTGTAATTGAACTGAAATCAGTTTGCCAGATAGGCAAAAATTGTCTGTTGCAAAACTCGGAGATTCTAAAATTTTGAAACGACTAAGGATAAATCCTAGAAACTGGAGGTGGGATCCTTTGGCAAACTATGCGGGTCGGTCTTATGAACAGATCAGTCGCTGATGGAATTTTACGGCTTTGAAATTTTTACTGCGGATGCAATAGACGAAACAAATATTTTTCATGACAAAATTTGTCCTTTGATTTTGTTGGGACAGTTCTAGCTTTGTCCACTCGTGCGGAAAGGCCCTAAGAACGGATTTCGGGTCGACGTTCCCTGCTCCAGGCATCAGTTTACCTTGTGGGAAACTGAGTGAAAAAAGGGAACGAGCTTTCCTTACTAATCGAGAGCCTGGAAGAAGCTTTTCGTCAACTTATCCTGTTTTTTGAGTATTTTCAACAAATGCGAAATACAGTTTCACGGCCGAGATAATAATAATCAGCTATCATATAACATTTTTTTCCCTGGGTATGGGGCTCCACTCTTGTGCATCGCGAGAAGAAGCTCCGCTTTACGAATGTATTGGCAACTTGGACCCTGACACATGAAGTGAGACATCTACCTCGAGTAAAAACCCGCGTCTCTAAAGAAGATCGAGGAACCCCACAGATCGAAAATCAAAACATTTTTGGGCACAGCAGCTCCCTTCATTGACTTCTGCTTGTCTCGGTTTGTTTCGCGAGGCTAAAGAAATTGGTTAGGTTGTTAAAAAGTTGAAGCGATCCTTGCCGAATTAGTTCCTATAATAAAACCCTTGAGGAGGGGAGAGAAGGGTAAATTTTCGTCCCGCTCGTTCGGTACCAGGCACCCGAAGAACACGTGATCACAACTTGCAAACACAGGATGGAACTCTAATGGAATACACATGATGAAGGTGTCTATGAATTAAGCACAGATTGTTTTAGCTTGACTCTTGGACTGCACTGCACGACAGAATGCATTTTTCCGTTCCTGATACGATCGAGCGTAAGGACAAGAATGGATCCAATTATTTGGCGAGTATTAACCTCTTATAATTCGCCATACTTTATCGATCTTCTAAACTTTACTTTGTAGAGTTGAAAACCAGCTGAGTTTTAAATAAGCTCGCTTGGAATCTCAAATGATGTTGGTTCAGAAGATTGTACTTTCTGTCAAAAGGTTTGCGCAACTGAGATGAAAACGATCTCATGATAATTTTGGGTTTTGATGGAAAGACAAATGTCTCTTTCGAAAGGTGACAGCTTGTCAGAGCTGGTGTTGATCCCCAAACGGTACCGTTGTTTATCAACACGCTCGAATAAGCACCGGCTGGATTTTATTCAACTGCGTTAAGTTTGTATTTGTAGATGTCAGAAACGGAGATATTTTATCTTTGCACTTTGAATTATGTTATCTTCCACAATAATATTTATCTGTCTTCTTTTATATTGTAACATATATTTAGAATACCGGTATATCGTATTTTAAATTGTAGTTTTTCCTTTCTGGTTTTGGTTTCATTGAAGCCTGCTATCAAACTTTTATCTCAGCATGCAGTAGCTCTCGTAAATTCTTCACCACGTGAACAATTTCTTGAAATTATGGTTGACGCTTGCCCTCATATCTAGATCCAATGATATTCATTGGTATGATAATTCAGTGTGCATGTAATTTGTTAGTGGAGTGTTTTTTTACACATGAGCTATAATCGTGAATGAGTTCAGACGTGCATAATGAGATGCATACTAAACTATGCAATTACAGGTTAATTTTGGTCAAGCTCATAATCTTTTGTTACAAATTAATTTTCTCGAAGCTTTCATTTTGTAAATGCAGTAATGTGTTGCAGCAAGGATCTGAAACATCCTTGTAACTTTAAAGACCTGAAATAATGCTTCTAAATCTAATTCTAAGTAAATATCTAGTAGATTTTAGTGCAGGAACCAGTTGGTTAAATTTTAAAACTGTCAATATCTCAATCTTTAATGAAACACAGAAAACTTAAATCACCTTTTCAGCCCCTAAAAGTTACAGGGTCTTTCGAGAAATGGGCCATAGTTTCATGATTTCCTTTCGGACTCTTTGTTGTAAACTTGTTATTATACAACATCAACATTGAAAAAAAAACAGAATTGAGAAAATGATCCTATCACTTCCAGGATCTTGAAGTCAGCTTTCACACTCATGATCATGTAATATTCTTTTTGGGATATTCCACAAAAGTTTCCTTTTTTTCTTTCTTTATTTTTTTTTATCTTTTGAGGTATCCCCATTCCTTTTATTCCCTTGGAGTGACAAGCATGTTATACTCCCAACAGTATCACCCCTGAATCAAACTTTAACCTTTTAACTCCTAAGAGTGATAAGCATCTAATTTCTCCTGAAAGAATCACCCCTAAATCAAACATTAAGTTCAGGAGAATAAGGGATCGGAAACTCAAACAGCTCTTGATTGTTAAACAAATTCTCCTTGTCAACATCTCAGGAAATGTATAAAGAACAGTATGGAGAATATGCATACTGATGTTACAGGGCATGAAATTAACTTTTTTTTCTGATAGCCACTTGGCTCCTAAATTCTTCAAAGTGGTAGCCAATTCAAAAAAAGTTGGTCGCCATTTTCAAAGACAAACAAAATCTTTCTTTACGCTGTCAGCGTTCTAGATAGACCCTCCAAAATTAAGTTAGGGAAAAGATCTTTAACGTGCTACAAAGTGGACACTAGGATGGATGATATACAACGTTCAGGCTCATCTAAATCCAAGATAGCATCTAGGTATCAATTGAGATGCATGTGCTACATTTTGGAAACAAACTTAACGAGGAAGTTTGCCGCGGATTATCTTTGCAAATCTTTATAATTCACTATATCTCTTGGTAAGGTTATGATGAAACGTTCTAGTCGTCAATTTGGCAACTAACTTTCAGGATTTGGTCGCCAAAGTGAAAAATTTAGGCACATTGGCACCTGTATTAGGCGCAATTTCACGCCCTGTGTTAGGCTGTGAAGGGTTAAGATGATGAGAATTAAGGGAATGATCCCTGACTGAAGAGGCTCTTGATTTTTGTGTAAATTCTCCTTGTCAGTACCACAGGAGATATATAGAGAACAGTATGGAGAATAAGCATACTGATGTTAGATTGTTCAGGACTCTTTGATAATTTTTTAATTTCTCTCCTATATATGTAAATAGTGTATTAAAGCTTTGGGGAGAATTCACTCACTGATCACCCTTACAATGTTAAGATATGTTAACCACAATTCACTGTATCTGCAAGAGTTAACAACCAACAAATCATATGCTGTGAAATAACTGACTCATGCTAAAACTCCAATTGCAGGCTTACAATGTACACATCAATGGCTCATTTCACTGTGGTATTAGATTTTCAGATCTTTACCAATTCAATGAACAAGTAAGTTTTTAGAGCTTTTAGCATTTTATCTTTCAGTAGCTGTTTGTCTTACAGAAATATTTTGTGACCTTACATGTATGTGAAAGAAAAAATATAAAATTTGAAGCTCGTCAATTGTCAGTTGATGCTGTTGATTGATGAAAATGTAGGGTTTTAACATTTAAGTCTGGTTTTCATATGTTGAAAAAATCCAAGATGATTTGCAATCTGTCCCAGATTTTGCTAATATATCTGGAGATCATTGAATGTTTGTCAAGGTGGATTACAGATGCCATTTTATTTGTGACTGGGGGTTACTGGAGCCAAGCAATTAAAGGATTACTAGAAAGCTAAAACCATCACAGAACATCCTTGATATTAGAAATAGGAGTGTTTAATAATTTTTAAAGATTGTGCTTGGGATCTGCCCCAATTTTCAGGATTTTGTTGCAGACCATTCCAGACAGTAGGGAATGTCTTCGATTTTGAGTTTTCATTAGTCAGAAAACTTTGGGATGGTCAGGAAACAGTAAAATCTTCAACCATCTAAGATTTTTTGTTTAAAACCAGCCTTTTGTTTTAGACAGTGGCTCAATGTTTCACTTGACTCCCAATACTATCACAAAGTTTTAGTACATCCTAATTTATTGACGATTCCTCTCTTTATAAGAGAGAATATCTGATATGTTGGTGTCCAACATTAGCTGTTTGATATACATTTGCATCAAGTTCACAAGACTTCTGTGTCTAAGACTGTGTTTTCTTCTTGTTGTTTTTTTTTCAGTTACGCAAAGAGTTTGGGCCAAGAATTGTAGCAAAGTTCCCTCCAAGAAAGCTTCTGTCTTTGACACCAGCACAAGTAGAAGAAAGACGAGTTCACCTGGAGAGATATTTACAATCAGTCTGTCAAGATCCTGGGGTTGCTACTAGCTCTCTGTTCATCAGTTTTTTCCTAAATGCCCAAAAGGTAAGGACTTCATAACTTCACCGCAGTGCAAATACTGGTATATGAATTTCATATATCTAAAATCATCATTCATCACTTGGATGGTTTATTTGGACCCAACACATTGATCAGCTCCCAGTTGGCTTGTTAGCTCAATTGGTAGAGCGCTGCACTGGTATCTCAGAGGTCATGGGTTCAAATCTCATATGGGCCTGAATTTTTTTCAGGTCCTATTTTCAACTGCTTGTTTCAGTAGTGTTCTTAGCTGTGAGGATCTCGTAATTTCATTTCTTCACCGCAGTGCAAATATATGAATTTAATATATCTAAAATCTTCCGGTAATGAACTCTTTGACCGCTAAGAGTGACAAACATCTAACTTCACATTACAATATCTCCCCAAAATCCCAGGTTAAGGTCAGGAGAATAAAGGAAACAATCACCAACTAAAGGGGCTCTTGATTGTGAAACAAATTCTCCTTTCAGTACATTAAGAAATATGTAGAGGACAGTAAGGAGAATATGCATACTGATGTTTGGGTGTAAAGTGTTGACATTTTGTGACAGGTTAAATGAAGCATTTGAATTACTTCTTGCTTATGATTTGTCAGAGGACTGAGGCATACATTTTGTAGATGATATCACCATTAACAGCATCATGTTTGCTTGTTTGTTTGGTTTTTATCATGCAAGACAAATAGATTCTTTGTTGCTGTGGGTTTGTTTACTAATAGATCACAGATGTTAATGCTTTAACACCCAAGATCTCATTAGTAATTCTCCTTACTGTCTGCCATACAGTTCTTGTGATGTTAGTTTGAAGAATTTGGTATTGGATCAACTTATAATCCCCTAATTTATATTTTTCTTTATTCTTATCACTTGTCTGCTTGATATTGTATTGATATTGTAAGGAGAAATTCTGTCTTGGTCACTCATGGGAGTTAAAGGGTAAACATGTGATGAGAACATCAGTGACATATGCAGCTAGGCCTCTTGGGACATGTGATGTCTTCTGTGATCCATTACTGAATAGACACAATGTATTTTTGAAATGTTTGTAAATGGGCATAATCATGATATCAATCTAAAGTCATTGATAGTTTACAGATAGTGAATGTTATGTTCGCCTTTAGGAATCTTTATCTGCTTCGCCGGAGAATGTTCAACTTGATGTTTACTTCATGAATGGACAAAAAGTTTCACTAATGATACAATCCACCGACAGAACAGATGATATACTAGAGGTGAGTTTTGAAAAAGTGGGTAGTGCTTTTTGCTTGCAGTTTTAACAAGGTGATTACGTAATTAACTTCAGTTGATAAAGACTATGAATGTTATTTTTCTTATTCACCAGTGGGTGTTTTTAACAGGTGTATTTTGTCTTGTAATTTTTTATACTCTGAGTAGTGGATTAGTGGACAGGGTCAGTTAGTCATGTCAATCACTTGTTGTTTCTTAGTCAGTACGACTGAATTCTTCAGTCCACTAGGAAGTCAGTCACTCAGTCATCAGGGTAATTTAGTGTTATCAACTGAGTTCATAACGTAAATTGGCCACCATAAAGAGTTTAAAGGCTGATGTTTTGAGTGTTAGCCCTTTGTCAGAGTGAAGGGCTAACAATCTGACGAAGGGCTTAAACTCTTTATGGTGGCCAATTTATGTTATTAACTAAGTTGATAGCACTAAACTAACCTGTACTCTCCCACCAACACAGCACCACAGTTTCTTTAGAAACTTACCCCCTCTATTTACTCTTGTTAGTCAGTCTTCTGTCAGATAATAAAGGGGCTAAGTTTCTAAAGAAACAGTGGTGCTCTTTCAGTGGGAGAGTAGGCCTCCATCGGTCAGGGTCGACCATGGGTATAGCATCCTAATTGTGTGTTTGGCTGGAGCATCTGCGACTATGACTGTGAAGGCCAATGCGTGAATGGCAGTCCCTGCCGCAAGTGCTGCACGTGTATGCTGTTTGTTGGACATTGCTGATACGAAGTTTTCTGCGGGTCCGCCTCCTTGTGGCAGCTTGTGTCAGCTTCTCTTCTCCTGTTTTGAGGTGCCTTGTAACGGCTCCTCTCCATTGTGACCGATCAGCTGCGAGATTTTCCCAGGTCTCTGTGTCAATTCCTACAGCCTTCATGTCACGCTTCAAAGCATCTCGGTATCGCAGCTGTGGGCGTCCTCTGCGTCTACTTCCAGTGGCTAGCTCACCATACAGTAAGTCTTTGGGGATGCGGCCGTCTGGCATGCGATGAACGTGGCCCAGCCAGCGGAGTCTACGTTGCCTGAGTAAGGTTGACATGCTTGGCAGGCCCGCACGAGACAAGACCTCTGTGTTTGGGACTTTGTCTTGCCACGAAATTCCCAGGATGCGGCGGAGGCTTCTCATGTGGAAGGTGTTCAGGCATTTTTCTTGTCTGGCGTACATCGTCCATGTCTCGCTGCCGTATAGCAGTGTACTGATGACACAAGCGCTGTATACTGCCATCTTGGTCTTCTCTGTGAGCAAGGGGTTGGACCACACACGTGTAGTGAGGCGTGCAAGTGTGGCAGCCGCCTTTCCAATTCTCTGGTCGAGCTCGAAGTCTAAGGAGAGATTGTCAGTGACAGTGGAGCCTAGATACGTAAAATGATGGACCACTTCGAGCTCGTAATCGTCGATGGTAACGGATGGTGGTGTTTCTGTTCCTTGTTCCAGGACTTTAGTCTTTTTCAGGCTGATGGTAAGCCCAAAGTCTTTGCAGGCCTGAGAGAAATGGTCCATGAGTGACTGAAGTGCTTGCTGAGTATGGCAGGCTACTGCTGCATCGTCAGCAAATAGCATGTCTCTTATCAGGGCTTCACGCACTTTGGTCTTTGCTCGGAGACGGGCAAGATTGAAAAGCCTGCCATCTGATCTTGTATGCAGGTAGATCCCTTCTTTCGATGCGCCAAATGCATGTTTCAGAAGGAAGGCAAAGAAGATTCCGAAAAGGGTTGGGGCAAGTACGCAGCCCTGTTTGACACCGCTGTTGATGTTGAATGACTCAGAGGTTCTGCCGTTGAACTGCACAGTCCCCTGCATGTTGGCATGGAAGGACTCAATCAGGCTGTGTAGTTTAGGGGGGCAGCCAATTTTAGATAGAATTCTGAAGAGACCCTCTCTGCTCACAAGATCAAACGCCTTGGTCAGATCGATGAAGGCAATGTACAAAGGCATCTGCTGCTCTCTGCATTTCTCCTGAAGCTGGCGGAGGGAGAATACCATGTCTATCGTTGATCTTTCTGCTCGAAAGCCGCACTGTGACTCTGGATAGATACGTTCAGCCAGTTTCTGAAGTCTTACCAAAATAACCTGAGCAAAGACTTTGCCCACAACGCTGAGTAAGGAGATGCCCCTGTAGTTGTTGCAGTCACTGCGATCTCCCTTGTTTTTGTAGAGGGTAACGATCTTAGCATCCCTCATGTCTTGTGGTACGGCCCCTTCTTTCCAGCACGCACATAGAACTTTATGTAAAGGCTGTAATAGTGTAGTCTTGCAGTGTTTGATCAGGTCAGGGGGGATCCCGTCACTGCCTGGAGCTTTCCTTGAGGCCAAGCTGTTGATAGCCTTGCTGAGTTCGTCATTAGTGGGTTCGTTGTCAAGCTCTTCCATTACAGGTAAGCATTCTATGGCATCAAGGGCTGATGATGTTACTACATTCTGTCTTGAATAGAGATCAGAGTAGTGTTCCACCCATCTCTCCATCTGTTGTCCCTTGTCTGTGATGGCTTCCCCTGAGGTGGATTTAAGGGAAGCTGTCTTGTTCTGGATTGGACCTATTGATGTTTTGATGCCTTCATACATCCCTCTTATGTTCCCAGTAATTGCTGCAGTCTGGATGGCTTCGCTGAGTTCGGTCCAGTAGTCGTTGGCACAGCGTCTTGCAGTGTGTTTGACTTTGTTCCTTATAGCTCGGAGAATCTGAAGATTTTTCTCGCTGGGTAATCGCTTGTATTCCGTTAGAGCGGCACGCTTTGCTTCTATGATGGGGGTCATCACAGCGGATTTAGCTTTGAACCAGTCATGCGATTTCGAGGTACTTTTTCCAAAGGTGGCCAAGGCAGTGCGGTGCATTGTATCCCGTAAGGTGGTCCACTTCTCAGTTGCGGAGTCCCCTGACTGTAATGTTGCTAGATGATTCTCAAACCTCTCAGCAAATTGCTCTTTAAGATCAGGCTGGCTCAACTTAGTGACATCAATACGAGGGCTCCCTTTCTTCTTGCCACGGTGGAACCTTTTCGGATGGAGCCTGACCTTGCAACACACCAAGGAGTGGTCTGTGTCACAGTCCGCGCTGTGGTAAGAGCGTGTGTGGAGGACGTTCTTAATAGCGGTTTGTCTGACAAGGATAAGGTCCAGCTGATGCCACTGCTTTGAGTGCGGGTGTCTCCAAGAGACCTTGTGCTGAGGTTTGGTCTTGAAAAAAGAGTTGGCTATGCAGAGTTTGTGATAGGTGCATAGCTCGAGCAGTCTCTGGTCATTGTCGTTCATCTTGCCTATGCCAAACTTTCCAAGGCAAGAAGGCCATGATCTTTGATCAGCTCCTACTCTGGCGTTGAAGTCGCCCAGAAGGATAAGTTGTTCTTTGTTTGGGATGTTGCTGATCGTGGCTGTGAGCTGATCATAAAACTCGTCTTTAATTTCAGGTGTAGCAGAGAGTGTTGGAGCATACACGTTGACGAGAGTTACAGGGCCTGCCGTGGTGTTCAGGCAGAGAGTGAGGAGTCGCTCTGAGCCGCTGTTGCCTGGCTTTACCATGTTCAGCAGGTTGTTCTTCACTGCAAAGCCCACCCCATGCTGACGCGGTACATTGGGGCTTTTCCCCTGCCAGAAGAAGGTGTAGTCTTTCTCCTTCAGTCTTCCAGAGTCTGCAAGTCGTGTTTCTTGTAAGGTGGCAATGTCCACATTAAGCCTCCTAAGTTCGTCGTTAATGATGGCTGTTTTCCTGGAGTCGCTGACGTCCTGAAGGTCTTCTGAGAGGCCCGTCAGCATTGTTCTAACGTTCCAGCAGCCTAGTTTCAGGACTGGTTTCTTTTGATGATTTTTGTTATTGCCTGGTGCAAAGTTTGCAGTCTGCCTGTTGGATATCTCCTAATCTCCATGCACCCAATGAAGAAAGCAAACCGTGGCGGGACAGCACCTTATTGACTGGGGGCTGCCCAGCTTGAGGCGGGCGGTAGCTGTCCAGTGGGATTCGAAGATCCCTCCCACCGACGAGAACGACCCCTGGCGCTTCACTCTACGCCAATCGAGCAGTAGCTTATCACCGGTAAACTGCCATTCTCCGTGTTGTGTCTACGCCATGGGCGTAGCTGGAGTGTCCTCTCCAGGTGTAGTGCGAGGTGTGTTGGTGTGTAGTGTAGGCGGATGCTAGCCTGGGCAGTGTTTTATGGAGAACAAGCTGTTGCCCATGTAACATGTTCCCCCTCTCCACGTCACTGATGGGGCCAAAGGAACAACAAGGTCGTTACAATTTGGGACCAGTGCCGTCGCAGGGGCTGCCAGCACGGGTTGAATTCAACTTCGAGCTGCCTTAGGGACTCCAACTCCGGATTTTTCCTCGAGGTTTACTCCTGAAGCCTTTTCCATGTGTGGATATAGCCGCAAGGCAGCAGAGGTTTGGGATAAGGGTTTTCCTTCCCCTAGGTAAACTGCCTTTCCAGGCTAGCGAGCTCTACCTGCCCTGTGCTGTAACCCTAGCAGGGGTGGCTGCGGGGCTGTAAACACTTGCCAAAGGTGTCACCCCAGACTCTGGTGGGCGGGGTCGTCCATGTCCCCGTGGTAGGCTGAGGTCCAACCTGTCCTACCCCAGTGCCCCAAGTGGGAGAGTATGACCAGGTAATTTGGTATTATTGACTGAGTTGACATTACAACTTCACATCGATTTAAGTGTGTCATTCAGAAATGGTTGTTGCTGCTGGATTTTGTGCTTGGATTTATGAGTACCATAAATTGGCCATAGTAAAAAGTTTCAAAGCTGACATTTCAAGCATTACTCCTTCATCAGAGCTCTGAGTGGTCAATTTATATGATCAACTTAGTTGATAATACCAAATTACTTTTGTTAGATAGTGATTCATTTAGTCTGTCAGTCAGCCAGTCTACCAGTCTTTCAGCCAGACAGCCAATTAGTCAGTTAGCCAGTCAACCAGTCTGTCAGTCAGACAGCCAGTTAGGCAGTCAGTCTGTCATTCTGTTAGTCAGTCAATCAGACAGTCTGTCAGCCAGACAGCCAGTCAGTCAGTCAGCCTAGCAAACAGTTGTTCAGGTTGTTGATCATGTGTTCTGTTTGTCAATCAATCTGTTAGACAGGAAGCTAGTCATTGAGTCAATCAGTCCGGTAAAACAATACTTAAAGATTCTCTGCACAGCTTTTTTTTATGATGCATGATAACTATGTGAAATCTTTTCAGGCATTGATGGCAGAGATTAACCTCAATGAAGACTTAGTGTACTACTTTGGGCTTTTTCTGATTAAAAGAGCTGATGATGGAGAAGCAACAAGTAAGTAGATTAATTTGTAACTATGAGTGACCACGACAAAATTTATCCTCACAATGTCAATGCAATATCAAGAATATATTATAAAACAGACAAGTGATGAGGATAACGAAAAATTTCAATAATGGGACTATTGGGCTATTAACAACATGAGAATTGTATGACAGACAATAAGAGATCTTGGGATCCTTTGAAGGAATGGAATAGATCTTAAAGGAAACATGTCATTTGAATTGTAAACGAAGTCATTTTTTCCCACAGTTGTTAGGAGATTTCAGGATTTTGAGGCACCCTTTTTGACCATGAAGTCAGAAACTGGAACTTGCAGAGTGGCTGTCAGAAAAACGTAAGTCATAATGGTCCTTTCTGTGAGATTTCTGTGGAACTTGAGGTTAAAACAAGTCTCCTTTTGCTGTTAACCTTTTAACTCCCAAGATCTGATTGTTAATTCTACCCTCTAGCTGCTACACATTTCCTGGTAAATTAGTTATGAGAACTTGGTGCTAGATCAGGATAGCAGCTTCTACCTGATAAGTTTGAATATTCTCATGGTCTGTTTGCTGAAGAATGTATGGATATTGTAGGGAGAAGTTTCATTTTAATCACTTCAGGGAGTTAAAGGGTTAAATGTCATTTTTAGGGTTTATAGAGGCAGATAAGTTTCTCTGGTCCTATAATCTTCAAAATGTAAAAAGTTCCTGTATTTTTAGATCAATGTTACTGGGTAACCCCTGGACTCCTAAGAGTGACTAGCATCTAACTTCTCCTTACCTATCTTCCCTGAATCACACATGATGGTCATGAGAATGAAGAACATGATCACTACCCAAAGAAGCTATTGATTGTTGTACAACTTCTCCTAGTCAGCACATTAGGAAATGTACAGAGAACAGTATGGAGAATATGCATACTGATATTAGGGTGTAAAAGAGTTAATTCCTAAACAAAATACTGCAATTGCCACTGTATTGGGGTTTTACAAGCAATCTTACTTCATGGAATATTAAACAATATGATTAATTAAAATGAGGTATTTCACGGAGAAAAGCATTACAAAAAAATATATATATTTTTAAATGAATTGATTTGTTTCACCAAGGTTGTGGGATCCAAAAATAGAGGAAAAGATTGTCAAAGATAGGATTGGAATGAACTTGTTGTATGTTCAGGTAAGTTCCAGCTTGAAGTGTGTATTCATGTTATTATACTTCTTCCTGGTGTAAACTTCCAGGTTTCTGTTGAAAGTTAAGGACAAAGTTGTTTTTGTTTGTGTGTGCCAAAAAGATAGATGAAGATAGTTGTACATTCAATGTAACCCTGAGCAAAAAACTGTTCCATTAGAAGATGACACCTGGCTAAACTGAACTGTTGTACAATCATGTAACTTTAATTTCATGACAACTCAGGATCACAATGTTCTCTGCTGAATCTTATGTAACCTTGAGACCTGCTACAGTAGTATGATATGACCAAGTAAACCTACACAAAGTCTCAAAACACAGAGGCAAATTAGCTTCTACATGGCAAGGCTCCACCTTGTTTGCAGCAGTAATTAAAACACACAACTCGCTAGTGACATGTGTCTCCTGTTCCAAGACAAACTGGTACCCAGTATGTGCAGTAAATGCTAGAACATAAACTGATGATACAGCTTTTACAGTAAAGTACAGCCTGCTGAATTGACTAATTATAGAGCAATTAGTAAATCAGAGGTATTCAGAAGCTGATCTGTTTTTCCAAATATGGTGATGTTGTGTAATTCTCCTCAGGCTGTCAGTGATCTGGACAGAGGTTGGACAGTTGGCCCAAAGGAAGCACACTCAAAACTTGCAGATCTCAAACAGAAAGGTGCCAAGCAAGAGGTAAGACAATTTTTATATCGATGCTTAACCTTTAGCCCCTAAGAGTGACTAATATCTAATTTCTCCTCACCATATCACCCCTAAATCACAGGCCAAGGTCATGAGAATAATGGAGATGATCAACAACTACAGACTAAAGCTCTTGATCATTAAGCTAATTCTCCTTGTCAGCACCTTAGGAAATGTATAGAGAACAGTATGGAGAATATGCATACTGATGTTAGGGTGTAAAAGGTTAAAACATGAAACCTAAGTTGCATTTATGACTTTCAGGTAATTTAAGTTGCACAAAGAAATTCTTTCCTTTTCATGTACTGTGTGGACACAATGCTATGCATCTGGCAATGACAGTCTGCAGCTTTGTGAGCATCAGAAAAGTGCTTGTTCATTATAAATTAAACAAAATAACTTATCTTCTGACATTGGGAAATGTTGTTATCTGTTTTTGCAGTTTTTGCAACTTGCCAGGTCACTAAGATTCTATGGCTATGTGCAGTTTAAACCCTGCACAACAAACTACCCCGAAGAAGACACAAGAGTTATTATCAGTGTTGGAAACAGAGAACTGAACTTTAGACTTCAAACACCTGGTGTAAGTGTATATCTAAATAGAGTCACTGCTTTGCTCAAGAGGTTCATTTTGAAATACAATGTGCTAAGTCTGCTCATCAGCTGAACTGGGAACATCTCAGGAAGGTTTCACAGCCTCTTTTGGCTTGAAGAAAACCTGTTTTACCATTTCTAATGCTTGTAAAGTAACTTAAGCCCTCAGTTACTCAGGCAAATGTCTCTTTTTTTGTAGCATAAAATCCAAGAAGGGAGCTTTAAAGTGACTAGAATAAGATGCTGGAGAATAACATCAACGGTAAGTGAATTATGAAATAATTTAAATTTATTATAGATGTTCCAAAATTTTAGGAATTGCCATGTAATAATTATATTTAACACTTTAACTCCCAAGATCTGATCGTTAACTCTCCCCTCTATCTGCTACATATTTCCTTGTAAATTGGTTAATATGAGAATTTGGTGTTCGATCAGGGTAAGAATTTAGTATTGGATCAATTAATTATCCCCAAATTGATATTTTTCTTTATTCTCATCACTTATCTGGTTAATATTGTGTTGATATTGTAAGGAGAAATTCTTTCTTGGTCAGTCATGGAAGTTAAAGGGTTAGAGACTGAGCAGTAGTATTTGTGTCATTGCCTCCACGTTTCTCTATGCTAGAGTGAAAAGAATGAAAATGGAGATAAAAAAGAACATCTGGAACTCGCATTTGAATACCTCGTCAAAAAAGATGAAATGGAGTGGATCACAATTTACAGCAGTGAGGTAAAGAGTCAAAAGAGCTTCTTGAGTTTGTGATCATTTCCTATATTCTCAGGACCTTGATGTTGGATTCAGGTGTTTAAATGTTGGGAGAAATTTGATGCTTATCACTCTTAGAGGTTTATGGGTTGATAAAATATACACAGGAATGGGGCAGGGTAGGAAAAGAGAAGTGTTTCTTTTTATGTGATGAAAAGAAGGATGAACCATACTCTCACTAAATTTGTCACATGTGTTTTTAAATTTAGGCAATTCTTATGAGCCTCTGTCTTCAGAGTATTGTAGATGAGATACTCCGAATGAAGCAAGGAAGACCTGTGAAAAAGGTACATGACCTTTAACTTATAATAAGCTGAGGTTTCAATAACTTTTTCCTGATTAAGTAGTATGGCCATAAGAGGTTTTATAGACAGTGGAAGACTTTGGTGACCTGCTTTAAATGAAACCCTGAATATGACCTCTATGACCTATGACCTCCTAGGTTAACTTTTTGCTGACTTGTGTGTTGTGATCTGTAAATGGTGCCTTTTGAACTATCACCTAATTCAATTTTCTTCTTAAAAAATATTTTGTATTTTTATTATAAACTGAGGGATTGTTTTTGTCCATAACCCAGAATGCCTTAAAATTTCATGACCTAAGTTCTTAGACCTATAACCTTTGTTTTGTGATGATTGACCTTTGATCAAATAATTGTAATCTAAACCTATAGTTATCTATTATATTTACTTTAATTTCAGCCAAAAGATCGTGCTAAACTCAAACAGGAAGCTTCCCCCAATTTTGAGCGACAAAATTCTGTGACATCAGATGCATCTATAGAGGTAAAAAAAATTCTTCCTTTATTATTGGTCAATGAAAAATCAGAAGCTCTGCATCCCTGGGACTTCTTTGGGTTCATGTTTCAGTTAGGGAGAAATTTTGTTTTGAAAGTGTTAAGGAGGGTTGGGCGTAAAAAATTTTGCAGGCAGTAGAAAAACTATGAGTTCCCTTGCATAAAAGCTCCATGTTACCCCTGCCCCCCTCCCTCCTCCCTCACCCCTTCCCCCCTTTCCCCCCACCCCTGGTGCCCCAAGGTCCCTAACCTCAACCCCACAGACTGGTGGTACTGAAATCCAGAAATGCTGGAATGCCAAAAATGGTTGACCTTGTATCGTTAATTCTGCATCAGGGTGATGGTGAACAAGAAAATAAAGCTGTGGACAACTCTTCACCTCCGTTGCCAAGTCCAAAAACTCCCCAGAAACAAAGTACACCAGGGAAGAAAACATCAAAACAGTCATCGGTAAGTCTTGAGGTTAAAGGTTACAGTCAACTTGAAGATTTCATTCTGGCACATACTATATTCAACTGTGGAACCAGTGTGTAGGCTGCACCCCAAACTGTTGATTAATTTGGTAGAAAACAATAATTTGTGTATTACAATCAGAAACTGTGTAGCTGTTGTAATGAAACCTATTAACAAAGAAAAGTTGTTAAGTTTAAAAAGCTGGCTCAGAGTAAACTGAACAAAAGGCTGCAGTGGCCTTCACTTGGACTTCCCTCCATGTTAAGGGTGTTGCTAAACAGAGTGGCGCAGAAACAAGTAACAGAGTATTGGTCTAATAACAGTATGTCTTATAGACCAATAAAAAAAATCAAACTAAAAACCTGTTTTTATGTACATTTTTTTTTCTCAAGAATGGAAGGCAAACCAGCCAAAAAGAACTACAGGGCAATCTTTTTCTGTACAGTTGAAGACCTCAAGCAAAAAATTCATGCACTTTTGAATTAAAAAAAATAATTGAATAGCCTAAATTTTTAGACTGTCTCACTTTTATTTTCAACTAAGCCTCTTGATTGTTGTAACAAAGCGCTATTGAGATGCTTATTCTGTAATGAATTGCTTGCGTGATTATAGTGAACTCTTTTGTGTAAAAAGATGAACATCGTGCTTATCAAATCTTTCATTTATTGTATCAAATGACAAATTCCTCTTGTTTGTCCACAGAACAAAGGTCTATCACCAAAACCAGCAACTCTTCCAACAAATAATGCTGCCATGACAACAAACAAAGTTTTTGAGGGAATTGGAGATGATGACCTCTGAACTCTGATTTGGTTTGAAGGTCACATGGCTCTAGTGATCACTTGCATCATAGTCAAAGAAACCTGGGCTTTTGTAGTTATTTGTTGTTTAAAAATTCAATTTTGGCAGTTGCAAGTTAAAAAACATATTGATTGCAAAATTTAGAATGTGGCTCTTCATCATGCAATATGTAGCTGCAACTAAGGGTGCTAAAATTTGGTGTGAGGAAAGTCAGTGAGCATGCTCATGGGAGAAAAGGCAAAAACTCCTTTAATTTGTTCTGCACTAATGCTGCACAAAAATTAAAGGATGAATGAAAATAGTGCTTAAATTAGAAACTGAAAGGTGTTAAATAAGACAATAATGCCATAAAGGTTAATGTTATTGCTTGCATCTAGACCATTCAGCGATTAGTTTTAATTGTTGAATAACTTAATTATCACTTGTCATTGGACTTATTACATTTTAATGGACAGAAATCTGAATATTTGATTTAAAAAGAGAAAAACTTACGATGATTTTGCATATGTAAGTATTTTAATGATGAAACACCAGAGTTTATATTTTTGCCAGCATAAATATGTTTTGGGCCTAATGCAGGGCCATTTTAGCAGGTCAGGTGAAAATGATTCAATCTTAGAAGGGTCCAAAACATATTTATGCACAGCAAAATAAACTGTATTACTATTGTCATCATCAATTTGGGGGCACTTAGAAATATAATTGAAAAAAATTACCACAAAACAGTCTGAACAATCACGCAAGCATCGGAGCATGCTAAAATACATTTTAGCCCTCCAAATTCCCAATTTTAGCCTGCAAAATTTGCCACAATACCCAACATAGTGATAATAATAGCAATAAGTGCTTTAGATTTTGTTTCCAACATTTATCTTCTAACTCAGAGAAGCACATTTTTATTTAGTTGGTACTACTGTAAATACTAATTATTGTAGTATGTGAGAGATTACAACTGAAAAATTCGTTTGATCCAAAAAACAGTGGAATAGGTTAATTCAAGAGTCTGAATTTTAGATGTTGGACAAATTTTATAAGAGAAGATTGAAAATATGTGGTCAGCATTAATTAAGTAATTGTGATATTGGATTGTGGTGATTTCAGGTAATGTACTGATTATAAAGATTTTGCACAACACAAATTTAAACTTGTCCTGAGCAAGTATAAACATTCAACCTGCATAACAAGTTAGCAGTTGAAGAGAGTGATGCAATTCTCATTTATGACTGGCTGGACCAGTCAGCTACTTGCACAACTTGTTCTGGTAACTTGTATTACAGGATTCAAGAATCTAACAACAGCGTAACATGTCAATCTTTAATAGGTGAATGGGACCTTTAAAAATTGTGGGTTTTGCATCAGCAATAAGCATGAGTGACTTAAGTCACTTGTGTTTCTAGTTTTGCTAACATGCAGTCATGCCAATCTATTCCCATGATGAATGCTCACTTAGAGATATGACACCACAAGATTGTTACCCACAGTCAACTGAAACTTGCTCTGTACCCATAAATGAGGGTTGTTTCTCAGTACTTAATCGTAGAAGTTTAAAACCCTTTAACTCCCAGAGGTGATTAACAAGTCATGTAACTTCTCCCTATAATTCCCATACATTATCCAACAAAATGGTAATGAGAATATTCAAACAAATCAGGTAGAAGTTGTTATCTTGAGCTAACACTAAAATCTCATAACTAATTTACAAGGAAATGTTTAGAAGCTGGAGGGGAGAATTAACAATCAGATCTTGGGAGGTAAAAGGTTTAAAAACTGTCCTCATGCTTAAGAACTTTGTGTGTTGTTGTCAGAATACTATTGATGCTCTAAAATTATGTGAAATTATATTAATTGGTGAAGTTTAAGACACAGTTTTTAACATTATATCTCATCTTTGAAAATTAGAAGACAATTATTATTTTCAAGGGAACTTATTAGCAGTCTTATTGGCAGTTAAGGGAGTCAGAACAAACCACAACTGCAGGAATACAAGAAAATATTTCACCAAACTTCTATGCAAATTTCTCATTTATTTAGAGGTTTTTTGCAGATTCAGTGTGAGTTCCAGAATCTGTAATCATTTACTTTGCTATCCAGTCATCTCTCAAATTCTGGTTCAGAAACTTAATGCTGAAAAGTTTGACAGATGCAACAATCTTCATAGATTTTGTTGCTTGAAAATCGATTATAAATCAGGCACAATTTCATTGGGTGTGACTGTGGTTTCTTGGGCTCCCTGATCCCTGATCTCTAGACTGGAAAGAGTGGAGTGTGGATCAAGAACATTAATTATGAAACAGTTAACTTGAAAAGCAATTTTAAGGAGTTTATATTAAAGTGTAAGACATTTAATTGTCTATTTTTGTATATGATAATTCTTAATGTTTTCTATAATTAGTTGTAACCTTCTCAAGGGAAGGAGAAAATAAAAAAAAATTAACCTGATTTTTTGCTGTTGTAAGCACTTCTTGACTGCATATATCAGTTGATAATGCATGAATATCAAATGTGATCATGATAAGATTGTTTCATTCACCCAGAGTGACTGGAAATTAGCAATTGGTTCATACGTCAGCGTGCGTTAATCGAGCTATTAAGCACGCGGGAAGTTTGAGGAGCCCGAAAGATGCGCAAGAGTTGCTTGAAGCGTAGCTTAGAGCAACTCTAGCTTCTTGAGTGCTCTCCAAACTTCCCAAGTGCTTCATATCTCGATGAACGCACAGCTGACGAATGAACCAATTGTTTTATAACATTTTCAACCCGATGGTTTGAATGTTGTAAAACGGTTAATATTCCCTCTGCTACGCCTCAGCGCGTTAATAATTTTGTTTAAGGAAAACATTTCTTCCTCATTAGCTGGCTCACAACTTTCCGTGTTTAGCTTAAATTGCCACCGAAGTCTTAACCAGTTTTTAGTAGTAAAATCCCAAAGTAAAAAATCGCGGAGAAATTTTTTTTCTCGAGGGATTTGTTTGCGGATGTCATGAGCGTGCACAATAGGAATATGAGGCACGCTCACGCAATTGAATTTGTTTAAACAAATTTACGCGCTATGTTATAACACTAATTGTAAGTATCTCTACTTCCCCACTTCCCCAGGGCAGAAAAAGGCTCAAACATGTTCCTGTCTCCTTTCTCCAAAGAAAGATGGCTGGAAGTGGACTAAAAGTTCGCCACTCTGAGACTTTTTTTTGGTATTGTGTTAGACAAGATTAATTATTCTCTCATTGCAAAATGACTGGGAACTTCCTTGTGTCCTCTAAGCTAAGGGAAGCTTTGAAGAGTCACCAAATTAATAAATTTGAACATGGAAGAAAAGTAGAAAACATTTTTACATGTTGGGAAGCCGAGTGCAACTGTTAACCCCTTAAATCCCAGATCAAATCTGTAATTCTCCTTACTGTCAGTAACACAATTCTTATAATGTTAGTTCAGAGAATTTAATATTGGATCAACTAATTATCCCCAAATTGATATTTTCTTTATTTCATCACTTATCTGGTTGATATTGTATTGATAGTGTAAGGAGAAATTCTCTCTTGGTCACTTGAGAGTTAAAGGCTTAAAATGTTTGATGCCATGGTCAAAGTTAATATGAAAGGAAGTTACTCTAGTATGAAGCTGATCCAGGTTGCTGTCCTTTTCAATGACCTGTGGGAAATGCAGTGGCCTGATGGTCAGTGCTTTAAATCCCAGGTAAAAGAGGTCAGGATGTGAGACCTGGCTGGGTTATGAAGTATCATGTTCTTGCAAAAAACCCTTCATTATTAGTGTCTCTCTCCACCCTGGGGTATATAATTACATACAGTACTGCTTAGCTGTCAGGGAAGCCAGATGAAATACTGGCGTGTAACCTTGCGATGGACTGGCAGTATTACTACTGCCCCATGGATGGCATCATCCATGCAAGAGAAGAAATATTGCTGATCACTTCATGCCTGGGCTGCTTTAAGTGGGTGTGGACTTTCAATTAACCTGAAATATCAAGTTGTGGATGTTTCATTGCCAACTGCTTCACACTGTTATTCAAATTGCAGACCTCTTAGCTATAATACTTCCTGATTCAAAGGGTGCTAAGCATATGTTCCTGATATGTTATTTTAGGATTTTGACCTCTTTTAATCATTGCTGCCTTCAGAGGGTAATTATCAGGATGATTGATGGCAGCTTGAACAACACTGAAAGTTTGGCTCTTAACTCCACAAGTTCATGTCATTCAAGCACTGGTAACAAAAAAAATCTGTGCAGGTGGACTGTCATTGAAAATATTGCAGAAAAAGAAGCCTTAAAAACTTCAGGCTTAAACCCTTTAACTCCCAGAAGTGATTAACATGTAACCTCTCCCTATTATATCCATACATCATTTAGCAAACAGGTATTAAGAATACTCAAACTTATCACAAAAGTTGCTATCTTAATTTAACACCAAATTCTTGTAACTAATTTTAAAGGAAATGTGTAGCAGCAAGAAGGGAGAATTAGCAATCAGATCTTAGGAGTTAAAGGGTGAACAGGATTTGGTTCATCTTCGAGTTGTGATCATCAGGTTTCCAACAATCCAGCCCTAAAAAACTAGCCCTAGAACTCTGGAATACAAATGGGTCTGACTGATGACAGGACGAGATTACTGTAACAACATCAAACAAAAAGCATTATGCAAAGCTGACCAAACATTAATTTATTAGTGAACAACTTCCTAATATTGATGTGAAAAACCACTTGTGATAAAAAGCTACAGGATAACTTTTGTACTGTTAGGAAATCTAGGCTCTCTTCTTGGACTCAAGTTGTGCATGTTACAACTGATGCCGAAACTGCACTACACAGAGATTTCCAACAAATATCAGTTCTGTATTACGCATCCACACATTTACAGCTCGTCCTTTTTCACTCCTTCTTCCTCATCAAGATCTATATCAGATAAATCAATGTCTTCTTCTATTGGTAGTTCTCCATCTTTGCCATCCCAAGGTTGTATTTCCTCTGCAGTAGGAAGCCCTGCACTCTTGATGGGTGCTGTTGCACCACGACCAACTGAAACAGCCCTAAGAAACTCATCAATACCTGTGTTATCAAAAGGACCTTTCAGTACAGCATATTTCATTTTACGAGCATTAACTGCTACCATTGCTGGGTACCCGAAGCCACCCAAGCCAACAGCATCCTCAAGCTTTGCCTGTGCCCCAGCCTCCGTCCAGATCCAACCCCACAGCTTCTTCTTGTACTTCTCACCCATCGACTTTAATATGTCCAGATACTTGTTCCTTCCAGAGGCTCCAGAATCCAAAATGTGTGGCAGAACAGAAATAACACAGATAGGCTTCTCCTCACAGTTAGTTTTCAGAACCTCACTGTTGACAATCTCAAGCACCTCAGGTGGCTCAATGGATTCAGCAAGCCTATCCAGTGCAAACTGTACAATGTCTGAAGCTGTTCTTCCTCCTTCATAGTTTTCCACACTGTGGGAATCTTTGACACCTGCTGCAAAGACCTTGATACTTGGATAACCTTGAATTTGGTACCTCCCAGCAGTGGTAGTATGAACTGTAGCATCAAGAGCACACACTTTTACTTTGCCTTTCAGCTCTGATGCTGCCTTTGCCCATTCAGGAGCAAGCCTTTGACAGTGACCACACCTGAAGTAAAACCAAGATCAGATCACTACTTCTGCCTTCAAGCTTCTAGAATATATTTGTTGAGAAGAATTCCAAATTACATCAAGAAAGTATCCTCTGTGACTTACCAAGGTGCAAAGAACTCAACCAAAACAAGGTCTTTGCTGTTGAGAACTTCTCTCTCGAAGTTGGCATCAGTTAGTTCAACTACATCCTCCTTGCTACCCTGCAGAATGATTTCATAGAGATTTACTTCAATCAAGTTACTGACAGATAGTACATTGAGCAGACTCTCTGCAAGAGACACTTCTTTAAACCTTTACACCCATAGATCAGAATCCATATTCTCCATACTGTCCTCTGCACATTTCCTTTGGTACTGACAAGGAGAAGATGTTTACCAATCAAAGTTTCTTAGGTTGGTGATCAATTCTTTTATTCTCATGATCATGACTGTTTGACCCATAAAAGTGAATATCAACTTTGAATTACACATTAAGGTCACAACAAATGATCAATTAAGAAGCTCCTGACCATTATACAAATTCTACTTGTCCACATCTTAAGAACTGTATTGAGAATAGTGTGGAGAAATTGCATACTGATAATAGGATGTAAGGGTTAATAAAATACCTGTTTTCCTCCACCTCCACCTCCACCTCCTCCTCCTCCTCTACCAGAACCAGATCTCCCTCCTCCAGAAAGTCGCTGATTCACCATGGATTTAGCAGCACTGAGACCAGAATCAATGATACTCTGAGCTGTTCTGGCACCTTCAAAGAAAAGTAAATGAGTTCTAGTCACAAACAGCCAATCTTCAAATCATAAGACACAAGAATTATCAAATGATCATAATTTTGAACAAACCATTATAATCAGTTGGAGAGTTCTTGTTGGCACCAAACACCTGAAAAGATAAAGGACAACAGAAAAAGAATACTTTAATTTCAAAGTAAACACAACAACACTCAATCAACTCAAAGATCTGGCCTAACGTGACAAGGTTTTCAACACAAAATTTAAAAATCCACCAACTCAAATGATTGCTCAGGTAGGATGAGCCACAAAGTTGTAAGATGATTTTACTGCAACCATACAAGTGTGTGACTAGTAGCATTTGGAACCTGGAGTAATCAGGATGGCAACACCTTGGAAGATGTCAATTTAAAATGAGAATCTTAAGTTAGAATTTTGCAAATGGCTGGAAATTTCAGTAAATTGCTCTCTGGCTTTCCATTATCAGACTGCATCAATTTGAGTGATTTCACAATATTGATTTGAAGAGGACACCAAAGAATAGAACAAAATTTTAAAAAACACATGCTGAGCTATTGTTATACCCATTAGATCTTTTGTTTTGCCACATCCTCCTTGCTGTCGCCATCATGTTTTGGCTTTAATTAACAAACCTTTATTGTTGGAAATCCCCGGATACCATATTGTCCTCCAATTTGTTGATTTTGTTGATCATCCATATCTACAGCTCCAACTTTGACAACTCCCTAACAACAGAATAATTAACAATCACTTACCAAAGTGGAGGTGAAAAGTGGTAGATATTTGCTGAACCACAAAGTGGCAAGGTAAATATCCACCACTTTCACTAACAGTGAGGTGAATATCTGTTTTAGTATATACCACACAGATACCAAAAAATTAATTTATTGCTCTTGTTATATCAAAACATGGTTAGAAATTAAACACTTGATAGACAGTTTTGTCTCTGGCTGCTTAAAGTGTTGTATATACTATTTTGAGAAAGGGTAGGGCATGATAAAATCTGAGATGCCAAGAAAACCATTTAGAAATAAGACTGAGACCAAAAGCTGCATGGCCATTAACTACATTGAGTAAAATGTAGAGCCAGGTCATTCAAAGCTGGGTTAAGATAACCCAGGATTAGTGTGAAATCTGGTTTCAGATCAGAAAGCTTTGAAAGAAAATTCAGTCGGATTCTTTTTGTCCAGAATATGATCACTGGAGGCTCTAAAAAGAAAGCAGAAAATTACCCCCAAAAGGCTTTTAATTAAAGAGACCCAGATTAAAATTTTACCTTGGGCTGGCGCTAATCAGCCTTTGAACAACTGGGCCTAGAACATTAAAACAAAATCAGGAACCTTGGGAGGTTATTATGGAGTTTTCAAGGACATAAATCCTGTTATTTAGTTGATATCAGGACCCTCCTTGACCTCCAAGTATTCCCAAAAAACTCTCAGACTTCAGCTAGACAGCTTGCACATACCTTCAGTGCTGATGCTGCTTTAATCCATTCTGGAGCTAATGCTTTACAATGGCCACACCTAAACAGCATAATTCAGTTACCAAGTGAACAGCTCAATCCCTACTGTTAGACCCCTGACTTTGATATTCTTCTCCCCTCTTTGGAATTTTTGCAGAAGTGTGGCATTCCATTTTTATCAAACTCCCCACCTTCCCCCCCTTGGAAGAACTCCCCACCACCCCCACTAGGAGGTAACTGTAGGGACAAGGTCTGTAAGAAAGATTTATCAAAATAACCATCAAATTTTAGATTCATCAGCTGAAAGTTTTTGAAGTTACTGAAAACAAAAAGGGGGGGGGGAGGAGAATCAGAGTTTGGTTTTTCATACTAGGGGGGAGGTTAGATAAAAAAAGGGAAAATCTCCAGTCGATTTGTCACACAACTAAACACAGAAAAGGGGCTATGTGGACACTTCATGATAGAATGATTGGTTGTCATACTTTCAAACAATTTGTTCTGTTTGTCATAAGATGTAATACATTTAAAATTTCGAACAGGAAGATTTGCTTATTTCCGGCACACAGAATGGAAAACAAAATTCAACTTAATCTACACTACATAATTAAGTTCTCACATTATCACTTAAATTTAAACAATTAAAGCAAAGATTTAAAAAATCACGTTTCTCTGTCTTCGTTTTTCTCTGTCCCAGGATGTTCAAATAAATACTATCACAGCTAGCCTTAGATTTTTCTATTTTAAAATGCTATGCTCGGAAAGCATTTACGCTTTTCAAGGTATACAAAATCACATCGATTTACTGCATTATGAAAATCTCCACTCAGCAACATACAAGTGTACCTTACTGGATTTTAATTTTAGCTGAAGCGTTGAAAATAAATATTTCACACGTACCAAGGAGCAAAGAATTCTACAAGCCATACACTATCACTGTCCATAACCATCGATCTAAAATTATTTGCTGTCAGTTGAACCACATCAGTTTGCGGACCATAAAGACCTCTTGCAAGCGAAACGAAACATGATAAAAATACACCTGCAAAATGATACAAAATATTGTCAGTAAACCAAAGAGGACCATCTCTACGCAGATTTTGAGACCTGTACTTACAGTATAGAAGCCCCATGTTTGGAGAATTGCAGAATTTAGCGAAAGAATCGCTCAGGCTTATAGCCACAACAGAGTTTTTGGCTGACGTGGGAAATGTGTAAAAAACCTTCCTGACCTTCAAAGGGGCCGGTCTCTCGTGTCTTGCTCTGATTGGTTGTTTATGGTTATAAATTCATGCGAATCACCGCTGAGTACCTCATCACCTTGGGCTCATAAATAAAAAAGAATCTTATTTCCTTTGTCATTGGGGAACTTTTGGCTTGAAATTTTTCGTTGTATAAACAAAAGCAGGTCTTGTTTAGTGTTTTCAAAGAAAGAGCACCACAAGGTAAGAGGCATGATTCTTTATTAAAAAATTTTGTGGGAAAATGTGGAGATGAGGATAATTTTTTTTATGTTATTATCATGAAAATTGTCTTTTTGAAAGCAAAATAAGTTATTTCCTTAGTTAATTTTTGTTTGTTGAATTCTTTTTCATCACTAGCAATCAGGTATGAACGTATGCATGTTAATGATATGATATTTATGATTGACTAAGTAATTATTTAACTGTTATACACTGTGTTCAGTCATGCAATGAAGAATGTTAAAAAAAATGGATTTGATATCAATAATAAGGTATAAAATTCCTAAAACCTAATGTTGAAGGTGTCTATGCTTTGAGAGGTTAACAATTCAGATTTAACATGAAAATAAGCCCTCCTTTAGATTTAAGAAGAGGATGAATGTTAAGACATAACACAGCTTTTGCAAACCAAATCTGTGGAAAACATATCAGGAGAGACCTTTCTCTTGTACCTGGCATGATGCATTTGTGAATTTTGTTTCTTATTGAGATTTTAATGAAGCTGAGGATTATGAAACACAATAACTTAAAAGTAACATGTTTCTTGTAGTTTGAAAAGGTTGCAGTAGTTTGTGGCATACTTCCTTTTTATGCTGCTGTTCAAAATCAAAGGCACTTTCTTCATTCTACTCGTGAGACCAAATGTGAATATAAAATTTGCAACTTGATTCAATCATTTTAAAGCAATTTTCAACTTATGTACAAACAGATAGATCCTCAGAATGGCTATTCTCAGATTATTGATGGCTATTGATATACCTACTATTAATATTTATAACAAGAGGGTCAAATTTTATTCGCAGTAGGAAACATCGTTTATACCCTTGATCTATGTCATTTACCCACATTCAACTACTTCTGCAAAGCAAAGCTTAGAGTGAAATGTTTTTCAATTCCCAAATGAGAAAAATCATGCATTCTTGCATAGTATTCAGATAATGGGTGTGGTCCTTTCACAGGATTTTCAACACAAGAGACAAACTTTGAAAAAGCATTAAATGCATCTTTTTCAGAGAGTTGCTTACAAGCAACATCTATAACAAGGAATTATGACACTTCCAACAATATCTTTACATCTTATTTCCTACTAAAAATTATTTATAAACAATTAACTTACTAGCTAGGCTAAACCATATAATCCAAAATGTAGTTGTTGCATACAATTTTCTAGCCTCTCTCGGCCACATACACACTTATTGTAAAGAGTAATACATTTGTTTAGTTTATTTTTTCGTAATATTTTTAATTTACGTATAGTTTGCTGCACTTTGTCATTTTCATAACAAAAGTATGGAGTATGTTAATGAAAATTTGTACAATTTATGGGGCGTTGGAGTCTTGTATTTTATTCATCATTAGGTCAACCAAACACATTTCTATCTAAATACCACAAAATAAGGCGAAAATTGGCATTAGTAAGGAATCGTTATCTTGGAAATCACAGTTATTAATTTTGTTCCAAAATGGCCGCGAAATGATAGGAGCAATATGTGTTGTCTTGTACTAGTACCTTGAGTTAATGAACCTCCTGCTCGCAAGGTATTGTGGTTGGAATTATAATCCTCGTGGATATTTGAGTCATGTTGTTTCCTATTGATCCAAGAAAGAAAGCGTTTCTTGTTACGTTGACCTGTGGTGTTGTCCGTGGAGAGAAAAGTCTTTTGAGTTTCTGGGTTACGGGTTGCATTCCTTATTGTGTGCGTGGCGTTCGAGCAATGATTCACTTGGTGTGGTAGTGCTAATGGTTAGCATTTATACGAATCGTCAACAGTGAAGGTCAAAATGTCGACGAAAACCTCTCCCACTTCAACGAAATATAAAATTAATTTTCAAGTCGGAGCCCGGCTCGAAGCAATGGATTACACGTTAAGTTGGTGAGTAGTATTACTTTCATGCACGGAGAGATTTACTTGCTTCTGACTCGTGTTTTTGGTAGGAATGTTCCTAAAAACTGCGCGCGTAACTCAAATTTTGTTTGTTTGCATGCTTGGCTGATTTCAGCCTGTTCTTAAAAATTTTCGTGATAAATCGATTTCTGGCGGTGACATTTCAAAACTTGGCCGGAATACTCCGTGGTTTTCCTCTTCTTATCTCTGCCACGGTACGTATTCAGTTTGACAAAGTGCTTTTCGGGGAAAGATTGAAAAAGTGTCGTTTCGAAGTTTGCTTTAATTTTAGTGCCGATAATGATGTCACCACATCAAGTTGAAATTATAGCGAATTTTTATCCTCTTTTGTTCACTTTTTTTACGAGATAAAAATTGATATTTTACTTGCATTTTCCTTTGTACTTTTGTAGAAATCGATAGAAACTATAATCTTGAACGTCTGTTACTTAAAGCTTTTCAATTACAAATATACTTACCTACGTACGTAAAGAAATATTTACTTCTGGTACAAAACAATACTTTTGGTATAGTTCGTTATATTTATGAGGTATTCTTCAATATTGTTACTTCTTACACCAGGAAATATATACAACAAGAGGTTAAAGTCGAGCAAAAATGGTAAACCTGGGTGGATTTTAAATAAAACCTTAGCACAGCTGAACAAGTGCATTCTTTTCATTAGTTATAAATTGTAATAATTAGTTTCTGTATTTTCATGGAGTAGATTACAACATGTGATCAATGCAAACACATTGAGCATCTGTGTTAATATTGTAATACATGAAGAGGTTGAAAGGGATCTGCCTTAGGCTGGCAACTCTCTCATTGTGATAAATTATCAATGCTTGATGATATTCTCAGTAGCACAAGCTAAGAGCTTTTGCAAGTGCTTGAAAGCCTTCTTCAAGTAGCATTTAATCTCCAAATGTCCCTTTGAAACATTTACCTCTTTGTTTTGCAAGCCAAAATGTCTCTATCACAATCATTCAAATTTGAGAAATCCTTGCATGCATTTGATGTTCATCACAGTTTTCTGACAACTTCTTAAATCTCTCAAGCTATTAGCAAGAGCAAAAATATGCACTTACAGTTGAACTCCAATAACTCAAACCATTGGTAATTCAAATTCGCGCTAACTTGAGGCAAAACTGATTTTCCTTGGATTTGCCTCTTATTTACTATAATTTTAACCCCTATAACTCAAAACCCCAATAACTAGAAACCCCGCCAACTCGTAACCCCACTAACTTGAAACAATTTTTACTGCCCTTTGGGTACTTTTCTTTGCAATTTTACCCTTGATAACTTGAAGTTGATTTTCACTTTTGAAGACTAATGAGCCAGAAAATTTTGCACTGTGGATTACATTTAATCTCAGTTGTATATTATGACAAACTAACCTTTGTCGATATCACATGTTTGCATGTCCATAAACAAATAGTTATGACAGTTCTCTCCAGGAAAGAGAAATAACTGCTCATAGTCTGGAATTGATCAGGTGTTTCTGGTATTTTTGTTCAAAACCCCGATAACTCAAAGTAATTTCAATTTCTCTTGACAATTTGAGTTACTGGGATTCAACTGTATGCACTTGCTACGAATGATTTTATTTCATGTTAGGTAATTAAAAGATTCCATGTTAACTTGCATCAATTCAGTAATAGATCACTGATGAGGTCAAATGTGGTAAGAACAAAAACATGGCACTCAAAGTGTGGCAGAGTTTGTCACTGATGTTCTTAAAACATTTTGACAACTTCAATGATTTATTACTATACAAACACATGGTAACATGGATTCTTTTCATCTTTTATGATAAAAAAGTTAAATTTTGTTGATGGTAATGTCATCTTTGCATCCGTCCTCCAACAGATCATAGGTAACAACTGATCTAAATGCTTGCATAACTCAGCTTATTATTTAATATTGTATGTAAAGGATGAATGTTTTGTAAAACTCATCCAAAGCTGGCTAGGAAGTCCAACTTGATACACATTATTTATGCAGAGAAATACTAGACCTGTGGAGTGTAAGCCTTGGGATTAACACTTTGTCAAAGTAGCTGATGCAATATTAAATTTTTATACACAGAACTGCCTCTGTTTTAGTGAACTGTTATTATGCTATGCTATAAACTGATCAAAAACTGTTTGCCACTATGGTATGAAATGTATTGTAACTGAAAATAATCGTTATTCATGGGAGAAAGATCAGATCAGATATTTTTTCTTTGGAGAGAAAATACTCCAAACGTGATTGTCATTGGTGGGATATATAAATGAAATGGTTAAACGCAAAGGTAGCTACCATGTATATAGAGATTAATACATCATTCAAGGATCATTTTTATTTCAGGAATTTTGTATCAGACCTTACTCAGTTTTTTGGCTGGCCTTGGGCAACCATACCCTTTAGTTCTGTTTTCAAAGCAAAAAATTGATTACAGAGTTTTTTTCCTTTAAAGTTTATTATATTTTACATTTGTCAATATCTTTTAGGTATTCTGCTAAAATATGCCGTGTGGATGAAAAAGATAAGAAGGTACTGATTCATTTTGAGGGCTGGAATCATCGTTATGATGAATGGATTGCATTTGACAGTGAACGTTTGAGGCCACACGGACGGCAACACCTTTTTCAGGACTCTAAAGAAGAAAAGGTTTGACAAGCCCAACTTATTTTGGTCAACTAAGCTTAAAAAGGGAATACATTGTACTAGTGCAGTAGATTATTGACTGTTTTTGGTTAATGCTTAAGCAACAGTAACACAGAATAACTTGAAATCTGTTCTCTTTGTTGTATAATTCTGTTACAATAACCTATTTGAAATCATTAGAGTAGGTTTCACTTAAATTTTGCTGATTTTTCCAGGGGCATGAAATAGATAAATGCACAGAATAATGATAGGCAGAAAATTGTGGTATTAAAATTTGTCAAAACAGTTGATTTTGGCAGGTACCTTGTCTTTATCGTGTCATTGTTGATGCATGAACTAAAATGTAACTGTGTGAGCATACATGCCAATCTTGCCTAAAAATTTCTTTTTGACTAACATTATGCTTTTAATTTCCTATCAGTGATTCTGATTTCTGTCCTCAATTCCACATTCCGCCTATGAAGAGAAAAAAAATAACTCTCAAAGATTTGCTCACCGAATTATCTTTTAAGTGAATTCACCATGATCTTCGGCTTCTCACTGTACATGTAATTTTCCTTTTTGGGGCTATGCTCTTCAATATTTTGTTTGTATTGAATACACATCTACTGTTCATAGAGCTAAGATGGAAGAACAGGTGCTGAACTTTGTTCTGGTTGTGCTACTTATTTTTTTTGTTTGTTCTTAGTAATTCTCCTTGGTCTTCTTTCCTATTTTCAAAATGTTTAAGTCATAAAAATTTGTGATCTTTTCTTTCTGGAATTTATTTTAAGCTAAGTTCAACTGAACAACAGCAAAGTTGTGTTTATGCTTCATCCATAATGATTAAATATTGCAGCTGTTTCTGTCTTTCACCTGTGCTTAACTTGTGCTAATTGCATCTTCCTCAAAGGGTTGTCTCAGTGAAATTAATCTAAATAAAAAGTAAAACTCTCTTTTCCCTAGTGCTCTTAAAAAAAGGGCCAGAGTCATTGAATTCAGTTGCCTCATTGGATGGTGCTCTGACTGCAAATTAATTTGATAGCATCATTAGTCAAACAGATGTCACAAGACATTACATTTAGCATCCAATACAGAGTCTTCCATTTCCAATGTATTATTACTAAAATGGGATTGTGCTGCTTGAAGTTGAATATCAAACTTCATATGTGCACTTTTTTAGGGTTTGTTCCTTCATTAAAATGATGTTTACCCACCATTTGGTGGTCTTTACTTTCTGTCTTGACAATGCCTAATATTCAATATTAATTCCTTCTTTACATAACCTTTTTTTAATTCTGTTGCTTAAATCCCTTTCATTCATTCATTATGCAGATGTTTTTGGGTGATATTCCCTGTTCCATTATTAATAGATTGTGTGTTGTGTGCAAGTTTATGTACACACTTGGTTAAATCTAAACTATATTTCTCTTGCTTTCTTTGTGCTATGGCCCTCTTCCCTCGTACCTTGTGATGAACAGGAAGTTTGCGACTATCAGGTCAACCAGATGAGTCTATTTTGCTATTTTTATCTTGTAAAAATACCACCTTATGTTGTGAAGTAAGATAATAATTTTTTTAATTAAACTGTGTTGTTCATGTATGTAAATCAAGATCTAATTTTTCTGTGAGCTTTTAACAGCAAGCTGATGTTGCAATGAGATTGTCTGAAATCGCTTTGAAACTGATAAAATTCCTCCAGCGGCAGTGTTTGCAAAATATGTCCTAATGTTCACCATTTAACTTCAGTTTTTCAGTTGTTTAAACCAAAAACCAAATATAGTGTCAGTCTTCACTCTCTTTGCTTCATAGAGTGTACATATCACACGATGAAGGTGTAGCTTCATTTGATGCTAATCCAAACTTCAACAGCTTTTCATTTTGACAGCAGAATTCGTATAATTTTCAAATTTGTATTCCTCTTCCCACAATACCTTGTTCAGTTAGTGGTACAGCACTAACCACTTTCATATCTGATTTTAGATTTCTTTAACCATCTCTGCATCTCTGCACTGAATGTTTTTGCATCTGTTTGTGAAACACAGCCCCACATCACTGTGGTTACATTGAAGTCAAATTATTTTCAATTGCATGTAGAAGGCATAAGTACGGTTTAAAATTGGAAAAACTGAAATTGGTTTTTTTTTTCATTGCTTTCTTCTAAATTTCTTTGGCAGAGTTAGAATGACGTACCTTTTGACGAGTTGTGTTTTATACACCGTTGTAAACTCTTTCCCTGTATTCCATTTATAATTTTCAAACTTTGGAATCAATATTTAGGATTAGGAAGGATTTATTGATGAGCGAACATAGCTAGGAAACATTATCCAACAAGATATGTGCAATGTGAAGTGTGAAACATGCACACTTCCTTTAGTGAGTGTTAATAATCCAAAATCTAATTTTAATCATTTTTCATCTGGTTTCATGACCTGTTAGAGAACAAAAATTTCACTCCTTTCTTCAACTTTGCCTCACTACTTTGAAGCAGAACTCATGTATGCACACATTCTCTGGTTTTCAATTCATTTTGTAATACTCCACAGGATATTTGTAATCACTTTGATACAAAGCTCTTTCCTTCTATAATCACGACAAAGCTGATCTTGCTGTTGTTTGTCTTTTCTATAATACTTTTCTTATCTTTGCTGTGCTATCCCTTTGTTTTTTGTTTTTTTTTTGATTGCCTAGAATTCAACAGTCTTTTGAGATTCTCAGTGGGGAAAAAAACAACAACTTGAAATTTGAATTTCTGTTTAACACTGTGTTGAAATCATTTTGTACATTATACAACATGGACTAAAGTTGAGTTTCATGTTTTAACCGTTTACACCCCAAGAGTGATAAGCATCTAATTTCTCCTTGCTCTATCAGCCTTGAATCACACATGAAGGTCACAAGAATGAAGAAAATGATCACCAACTAAAGAAGCTCTTGATTGTTAAACAAATTCTCCTAATCAGCTTCTTAGGAAATGTATAGAGAACAGTATGGAGAATATGCATACTGATGTTAGGGTGTAAAAGGTTTAATAAGCAGTTTTTGGGTAAGGATGAAAGCAGGATTCCTCAGCTTCAGTGCTTTTTAGACTCACCCTTGTCTGGTCTGTCCCATAGCATGAATGCAGAAGCAGCCTAAAAATATTAGCTACAAATCCCATGTAGATATTCTTTGCCCAGAGAGTGTAGACACTGCATGTAGAGTAAGTGTACACTATAATCTATGCAACCTTTGCTCTGCAGGCAAGTTATCTCAGATAGTACTGAAGGGCTGATACAGATAGGGCTGTATTTCACTGTGCAGCCTCCTAAACTTAAAAGTTTGTTTGGATTGAAATCTTCCCCCTGTATTAGAACCTATTGAGGAAATAGATTTCAAATAATTATCTCACTAACCTCGTTTTCTTGGCCTGTACTTTAAGTTACAGAACCTGGTTTTTTCAGCTTGGATTATGGCTGTAGTGCAAAATCCAAGCAGAAACAAACTTGGTCTGTAACTTACAGCACAGACCTTGAACTCGATTAGTAAGAGGTGTGTATGCTGCAATCCCTCTGGTTGGTATTGTCTGGATGGAATTTCCTGCATTCACACACTTAAGTAAGCTAACCACCCTCTCTTTTGTGCTGATATGGAGTAGGAAAATCATTAATGGTGACCAATTTGTGATTTCTTTGTGTGTGCAGGATTGGAAAACTGGTGATCGAGTATTAGCAAAGTGGCAGGATTGTAAATTCTACCCGGCAAAAATTGCCAAGTGCCTTAGTGAAGGTAAAACATCTGTAAATTTGTAATAATGTTCCAAGTGAATACCAGGTCTGGAAAATGTACTTGATTTGTATGAATCATTAGCTGTAAGCAGGGAGGTACATCAGTCCAATGAATCCTTCTAACCACAGTAGAACCCTTTTACTCTCAAGATCTCCTTACTGTCTGCCATAGAATTCCTATGATATTAGTTGGGAGAATTTGGTATTGGATCAAGGAATAATTTCATTGATTGGTATTTTCTTTATTCTTGTTACTTGTCTGCTTGATGTTGTATTCATATTGTAAGGAGAGATTCTGTCTTGGTCACTCCTAGGAGTTAGATGGTGAACATGATGCTTCATGCACTCATCCATCTTGGGCTTTAATCGATGTTTAACAAAAAGAGAGAAAAAAATCAAAACATGATAGTTTATGTAATTTTGGATAGCAGTTACAAACCCATAATATTATTTATATGACGTCATATATTCTTAACCATCCATAATATTATTGTTAGGGATGATATCCTCTTGGGATTAGAGTGGGCATGTGAAAATTCACTAAATGATTATTTTTTATCAAGGACAATCATTTGAAATCAAAGTAGAGGATGAGAAATCCAAACCAATTTTAACTTTTGATATTTATACAATGTCAACTAGGCAGGTAGTGAAGAAAAAAATAACTAGCACCAAGAGGATGTTGTCTTGATGTAATGTCAAATTCCTAGCAGTAATTAAAATACACTCTTGCACAAAGAAATTCATAGAAATTAAGAGAATTTGTTCACAGATATTGGTAGTAAAGACTACATTTGCTGCTTGTTTTAAATAAGTGTTATAAGTTGAGACAGTGAGTGTCTGCCTTCGTGAAAGTTCAACAGGTATCACCTGTGAATTTAACCAGTATTACCAGTTATCTCTAACAAACACAGTGAAAATCAAACAATGCACTGTACATATTTTTGCTTTAGTTTCCAAACTGGCAATCAAGCTTGTGTTTCAGAGTGATGAATTGACATGTAAACATGTGTGTTCCACTTTACATTGCTATTAATTCAGTTGAGGGGATTCCCTTCTTTGTTAAATTTGTGAAGCTTTAAACTTGTTGGAAAAATGTTTTCAAAACCAAACAGCTGTAGCAGCAATTTTGTTTGATTTTTACTGCTCTACCGCATAATCTTTGAGCAAAAGAATGTAACACAATTGTCCGTGATGAATCAATGTTGTCAATCTGTACTGAAGGCAGATAATCAATTTAGCATGCTGTATGCATGAATGAAATTAATTGAGCTCCTTGCACCATAGGTTCATATGAAGTTCATTTTTATGATGGATTCAAGAAGGTGGTCCACAGAGTAAATATCAAACCAGATAATAGGGTGAGTGCTTTTGAAAATCATTTATAACCAGTTACCAAGTTTGTTGTTGTTTTTTTTTTAAGTTTTGGAGAGATAATGGCCAAGTAGTTTGTACTCCTGTGTTTGTTATGAAGAGCTCTAAGTTCAAGCCCTGGGGGAGGGGGGAAGGGGTAGCTGTGTTGTGTTCTTGGGCCAGACAATTAATTCCAATAGAGTCTCTTTCCACTTAGGACTACACTTATGTGACAGCAAATTGGCAGGGAAGCATCAAAAAAAGTTTGGTGGGGGGAGTTGTGGTGTGATGTTGTGTGGGGTGGTGTAAGAAGGGCTTCTATGCAATCATTTTATCCAGGGGGTGTAGCAATGCTCCAAGTTGCTTCATGTTTGGGAAACAGGGATAAGCATGCATTGTGTGGAACACAATGCTTCAGAGTATAATTTGTCTTACCTTGTGCCCTAACAGTTTAAGAATACAGTAATGTTATGATGAACGCATGTGTCTATGTTGATTATTTTGTACTGGACAGTGATTTTATCGCAAAAAAATATTTTTGCCAGCAATTTGCTTGGGTCTTGGTTGAAGTATTGACAGCATGCCTTTTCTTTCTTTTTTTTTTCTAAATACTTTGTAATAAACTAGTGATTTTTCCCTCTCCCTTTGCAGAAGATCAACATGAGTTCCAATGACAAGCAGGAGCATGAAAAGGAAATTCAAGAAAGGAGAGAAAGGCGGCAGCTGATGGCATCTGCTAGAGCTGAACGAGCTCGTAAGAGGAGTTCAGAGACCAGCCCCACAACAGTTATTCCAGTGAAGAGAAAAGATTACAGAGGAAGAAAGGGGAAAATGCATGAGTAAGGGATTATTGGCTGTTTGGGAAGTTTATGTTCTTTGTTTTTTAAAGCACTCTGTGCTACGACCTTTAATTCTCTTTTGTGGAACATTCATATTTGCAGGAAGGATGACTTTGGCACAGCAAGTGAATCCAGTGTATCAAGTCCAGCTGAAATGCCTGAAGTTGATGAGCAAACAGTGGATTCTCAAAAACAGTAAGTGTCAAGTTCATGACAGACTCTATGTCTTAGGTACATTGATCATAGTAATTTGTTTGGGTTGGATTAAAAGCCTCACATGCTGATATTGAAGTAAAAAGTTATAGCATTTCTTGGCATTAAAATGTGTTTGCTAATGAGGCTTGAGTTTTGGGTCTGTGAAGGTTTGCTTTGTGAGGAGTGGAGACAGTATGAGCTTACTGACACTAGGCAAGGGGACGGTGTTGTGAATTGATCGGGAACACTTACATGTACTCCCAAATTACACTTACTTTCAATTGTCTTTTTGATTCACCACCATCCAAGAAAATATTGTAATTAAAAGATTTTAAAAACATTATGAGAAATCATCACCCCCAAGGAAGCTCTTGATTTTTAAACAAATTCTCCTTGTCAGCACCTTAGAAAATGTATAGAGAACTGTATGGAGAATATGCATACTGATACAAGGGTGTAAGGGTTGAAGTGGTCCTCTTATATCACTTTACCAAAAGAACTGTCAAGGGTTTTTAGTTAGAAGCTTCTTACATCATTAATTGTGGCATCCTACTGCTAAATATTCATCTTTTTTTTTTCTTCATTTATTTGAGGGACAAGAAAAGTAAAGAGATTGAAGCTGATGTGGAGTCATTCATCAAAAATGAAGAGCCTTCAGATAGAAAAGAAAGACATGTTGATATGCATCAATTGACAGAAAAAGAGGATTTACTGGAGGGTAATTTTACTCAATTGGTGAAGCATAAAATGCCTGTGGAGAAAATACCACATCAAAAAACATCCACAGTGGGTATAAGGAAGCAGAGAAGATTCATGGATAAAAAGAATGCGCTCAAAACAAATGATGAACTAAAAAAGAATCGGGAAGATAAACATCAGTCCGCTAATGAAACTGAAAATGATGACAGGAAGGTTTTCTTTGATGCAAAGGAACATTCCACAATATCATCAGCATCATTACACTATTCAAGCGCACATGAGACTTTGGAGAGTGATCCTCAAGATTATCATGAACACAGAAAAAAGCAAGAGAGTAGTTGCAGCAATGTCAGAGACAGTTTGAGTTTTAAAGATGAAAGTATAGAACAACAACAGGTGGACTATGTGTCAGAAAATAAGGACAAAACTGCCACAGAAAACTCTTCAAATATCAGCGATGAGGGTGTTGAATTTGAGCAACAAAGTAATCTCCCTCCACAAGAAGAAAATGAAAATAGTTATGGAAATATCCAAGACCCCGACACAGAGACATCTCCAGAGAAAAATGATTCTTCAACTACATTTGAAACTTCTTTGAGAACAGAGACAAGTACTTCAATAGTGACTTCTAAACCAGGCAATTCAACTTCTAAACTAAAAACTTCAAAAGGTCCCAAAATTAAAAGAACACTTTCACGAGCCGAACGTCTGTCAAGAACACGCAAAGCCAAAAGTGGCATGTCATTTAAAACAAGTTTATCTTTAAAAGTTAGTCCTTCAACCAAACAACAATTTACCCCGAGGGCTGCGTCACCCCCCAAGTTAGATGCCCAGGAGGTTAATTTGCCCCCTAAGGTGGCTCCCCCCAAAACTGGCACCAAAACTAGCGCTAAGAGTGAGAAAACTGTACAACGGAGGAGGAGTTTTAAGGGGAGTAGATCATCTTCAATAAGTCCTAGAGGATACGGATACTCCATGGCATTTATGGACATTGAGAAGCCTTTACTACCTGATGCAAAACCAGAGGAGAAGACAGAGATTCCTACGACAGAAAATGAATTAACTATCGTGACAATTCCTACAGAAAGTCTAACTTCTACTCCAACCACTCCAACGAGCCCAACGGCATCAACTGCAGCAAATGAAAACCAAGTTGCTCCCAAGAAACAGACATATCAGGCTAAGAAGTTTCGGTTGGACCAGATCACTGGAAAGCTGTCTGCACAACGGCAGAGCGAAGCTCAAGCTGCAGCTCATTCACCATCTGCCTTTCAACTCGCGAAACATCACTCTTCACCTCCACCCCCCTCTGCACTGAGCCCGTCACCTCCTGCTAATCCACCACCCTACCCCAGAGAGTCATATCCACCTCCTCCAGGACCCCCTCCCCTTATTTACTCACCCATGCCAGGGTCATGTTGTCCCCCTCCTCACCATCAGCATCTGTATGGACCACACCCAGGTCATGGGATGCATCTCCCCCCTGGTCACATGCATCCTCACCCGGAGTATCCTCCCCCGTCATCAGGGTACATGCTGTATGCTCATGGGATGCACTATCCTCCACATGGACCTTGCATCGGTCAGTGTAAGTAGTCATTTGATTACCTTCACTTGATAAAGATCTGCAAAAATGAACAGAACTTTTCACTCTTTCTCGATCTCATTTCGACTTTAAGCCAAAAAAGCACTCTGTCAAGCATTACGCCTGAAGTTAAAATAAAACATGTCTGATTTTTGAAATGGGATTTCTCTTTTAAAATGTTACTAGATCATGTTTAATTTAAGTCAAGTTAAACTGGGAAGGCTGGATTTAGAGGAAAATGACATCAGTTAGCTGTTAGTTTAACAGTAGAATGTGTGACCCCAGCTCATTTTATGTGCAGACTTTAGTGCTTTTAAGAGTTAGTTACCATTCTGCATATTAAATCAACTGTTCATACGTTGAAAATTTGAAATGGTTTATAAATGACACCTCTTCCTTTCTTGATCCAGCTCTTCTAACTCGACTGAAACACTATCTGTTAGCTCTAATACTTTGGTTGAGGCATTTTGGCCAGAATTAACACCAGAAGCAATAGAGAACAAGAAGGAATTTTTTCATTGTAGTGAGACTTAAATGACAGCTATTTGTTTTCGTTGCACAGGTTCTTGTTCTGCTGGGGTGCGACAACCTGTGTACCCTCCACTCCCCCATGGGGCACCTCCTCCTCCCCCTCCTCCTAGCCATGAGAGTGCACTAGCACAGCTGATGCAATGTGAGCAGAGGATTCTTCGTGGTGGACCAGGAATGCCTCATTTTAGAGAACAAGCCCCTCCTGGAGCATGGGTAGGTCTTAGACATGGGCCCCCAACATCACAGAGCTTCTTACCAGTGAGCCATCACCATGAGGACCATTGGCATGCACATGATGGTAAGTACTTGTTGTGCTTTTGTTTGTGAGCAGCAGCTAAGAGCACTGAAGATGGACACAACCACTGTCATTCAGTGATGACAAAGGATTTTGCTGATTGATAATGCAAGGGAAGCCTCTCAGCTCATCGCACACTAAAAGAGCTTACAGAATACTAAAATAACCAGTTTTGTCTCCCCTGCTTCTCATGTATCAAATTAACAAATAGATTCCAAGTTGCTGTGCGCCTGTTCAGTAATACATCACAGATGACGTCAAAATATGGTAAGAACAAAAAAGTGGCACACGAGGCGCAGCCGAGTGTGTCACTGATGTTCTTACCACATTTTGACGTCCTCTGTGATGTATTACTGAACAGGCGCACGGCAACTTGGAATATAATTGTTTTATATAATAAAGAATTAAAAAAGGTTTTAATGATGACGTCATCTACACGTGTGTCCTCCAATAGATCATAAGTGAGAACCAATCAGAATGCGTGCATAACTGAGCTTATTATATAATAATTACCAATAATTTTATTTTTTTGGAAATCTTAGATCGTAGTCTTCAGGTTCCTCAAAGTCCCCAAGTTCCTCCTGTTCCAGCCAGCGTCAGTCCTACTCCAGAAAGCTCAAAGCACCAAAACAGACGCTCCCGCAAAAGTGAAAGGCCCCTTCCAACCAAATCGTTGCCTGCATCAAGTGTGGAGGCGCCATCAGCAGCCAAATCAGAAGCAGAAAATGCTTCCAGTGCCGAACAGAGCACTGTCCAAAGGAGTGGAGAGGGTGGGGAAAGTATTGCTCCAAAACCTACCATTTCAGAAACTAATTCCAACGGGGGGTCTAAAGATGGAACAGAGAACAGTGAAAAACCTTTAGCACCAGCAAGTCAGTTGACGTCTATGTCAAATCTGAAAGCATCAACCACAGCAACACCAACAAGTGCCACTGCTATGTCTGTGGTACAGGCAACTGGAATATCAGGGGTGCCTCATGATCTGAGCCCAGATGGTTTACAAGCTCTACTTCCTGGCAGGGTAAGATATTCATACCCTGTAGCAATCTTCTTAATGAAAGTCACTGTCAATGTCCTCACAGATGCCTTTTGGTCAAAGAACAACACTGATGTTATCCAAAGGATAACATTTTGTCAAACATGATAAAAATACATGTAGTTCCAAAATTAAGGAGATTCTTTTTAAAGAAAAGATATGCAATTTCAATTTAAAACTACTACTGATGATTGGAGCATGAAGTGTACAGTTATGGAGGGATCGTCAGGGCGTGAAATTGCGCCTAATACAGGCGCCATTACGACTAAATTTTTCACTTTGGCGACCAAATCCTGAAAATTAGTCGCCAAATTGGCGACTAGAATGTTTCATCATAACCTTACCTAACGATATAGTGAATTAGAAAGATTCGCAAAGATAAATCCGCAGCAAACTTCCCCGCGAAGTTTGTTTCCAAAACGCAGCACATGCGTCTCGATCGATAACTAGACGCCATCTTGGATTTAGGTGAGCTTGAACGTTACATATCATCCATCCTAGTGTCCACTTTGTAGCATGTTAACGATCTTTTCCCTTACTTAATTTCTAGAACGATGACAGCATAAAAAAAGGTTTTGTTTGTCTTTGAAAATGGCGACCAACTTTTTTTGAATTGGCTACCACTTTGAAGAATTTAGGAGCCAAGTGGCTATCAGAAAAAAAAAATTATTTCACGCCCTGATAGTAAACAAAACATTTTCTCTAAAGTATTGATGATTGTGATAAACCAAGCAAAGAAACATAATTTTAAGGAAATCTACCAGTGGATGCACAACATCAGGAAGAAAAGTCTTTCTTTTGAGTGTATTTGTTTTTCTGCTGAAATGTAGATGATGTAGGTGAAGAAAACTAATGAAAATGCTATTTATTTCAGATGCGCAAGTCTAAAGATCTGGGTATGAGTAGTCTGAAGTTTTACATCAAATTTTGCACGTCACATTTTTTTTTCCTTTTTTTTGGGTGGTTTTGTTTTATTAAAATCTTGCCTTTGATTTCAGCCCCCAAGGAACTGATAATTGAAATGGACCATAATAAATACAAATGCCAAGTATCTGGGTGTGATAAGTCATTCCGTAAAGAAAGTGGCTTGGAATATCACATTAAATACTACCATAATCAAAAGGACAAAACTGGAATTAAGAGAAAAAAGTCAGGTGGGGATTACTAAGTCCGCATCTATTTTAATAATTTAATTTAAAAAATGGAAGAAAAGAGACATTAAAAAAGTTTGTGTCTGCACCAGAGCCAAGTGGCTCATTCAGGCGAAGATTATCCCAGTTTCTATAGCATAAATGGACGAAAAGTATTTTCACTCCCCTCCTGGGGGGTTTGCTAGCCATCGCAGCCCCCTTCCCCCCTTCCCCTATGATGTCTTGTCTAGTCTCTCTGAGAATTTGTAAGGTACCCATTCATACTCCTGCGTGGAGAGAGGCATGGGGAGAGTAAAGTGTCTTGTCCAAGAACACATCGCAATGATCTGACCAGGTCTCGTAGCCAAGTCTTGTTTTTGAAAGAATAAAAATGCTTTTTAAGTACATCATGATGGCCAATTTTATTTTTTTTTATTATTGGTTAGTCTCCGTCAGGTCGGACTCTGCTCCTGACACTTCCCCCGAGTTTGTCAGCCAGCATCGCCTGCACAAGCGTCGCATTCACAGGTCTTCAGCCCCAGCCACTCTTTCATCAGGCAGCTCTCAGATAACCAGTCCAAGTAGTGTGGTCCCATCGCCGACCATAAAACCTGAACCACTGGAGGAGTTATCGAATGTGGTGATATCCCCCGCTATGGACTCTGAACCTTCTGTCAGTCAGGAACTAGACCTGGAGATTGAGGGGGGTGGGGTAGATACGGAGAATATTGACCCAGGGACAATGGAATGCATGGAGGTGGAAGAGGAGGAAGACATCAATGGAGATGTGATAAGATGTGTGTGTAATGAGTCCGAGGAAGGCGGCTTCATGATACAGGTGATCTTTTTGTCAAATCTCACCCTGGTGTATTTTGTGAAGGAAGCTCTCAGGGGTGGGGAGGGTTCTGGGAAGGCATTTAAGGCATCTCTCCTCTCCCACCCCTCCCCCCATTAACAGCCAAAAGGCTGAGCAGTTTTTCCCTTACACTTCCATTGTGAAGAGAGGGAGGGAGGGGGGGATAGGCTTTTAAAGCCCATCGAGTTAAGTTCTCTCTTCTTTAAAAATCTCTAGTGGCCACCTTTCCTCTCCTCCCCTTCTTTAAACATCCAGACAACGTTTCTATTCCCTTTACTCATAGGAGGAACAGGCTTCCTTTCCCCCTGATTTAGACCGTTTTCTTTTGTTTTAATTTGTCTATCTTTTGTCGTTGGTACTGTAGTGTGAGCAGTGTCTAACATGGCAGCACAGTGTGTGTGTGGGTCTCAGTGAACAAACTGTTCCGCCAAATTACGTCTGCTATGTGTGCACCGAACCAACAGGTAAGAGTTGTTTGTTCAAATTCGTTGTAAGAAAAAGGGAGTACTCGTGGACTTCAAACAAATGCTGAGTGAAATACAATTGTTATTTATTTATTTTCTTTCTCATGGCTTTCTTTCAGGGTTAAGGAAAAGCGCAAAATACAAGGTACCACTGTCATCATTTCTCTAGAGTGTTTGTTTCTCCTACGACTAGTGTTGTTAATAGCAACAACCTCTGATGTTGTGATCAAATTTTACACACGCTGCGGGAGCTCTTCTCCAGTTTCTTTGTCCCACAACAAGCCTATTGCAAGAAGCCCCCTACCCCCTTTTTTATGAAGGTTCGCCAGTAACCATTCTTTTCTCCTGGGTGAAGAGAGGCATGGGGAGAGTAAAGTGGTAAAGTCTCTTTACCCGGTCAGGGCTCGAACCCAGACTCACCGCGTCTTCGATTGACTGATGCTACGTTCACGTCAGTAATCCTTTCTATCACTTCTCCTGCAGAACGATTTTGATTGGTTCAGACGAGGTACCTTGGCATGCATGCCTTTTTCATCAGTCCCAGAGCCTGAATACTCAGCAGAGTTCAACCTCGCCACTCACGGCGTGATGAGTGACATACATGATGTGAACCGCTCCCTACGCAGTTTGAAGCTGAAATTCGAACTCCTCGGGTAAATACAAACAGCCTCAGTAAATCTCCGGAGAAGTCGTAAATGATCTAGAGCAATTTTCAGTTAGGTTTCCAAAGTACTGCAGGCCTGCAATGGTTTTGATTTACTGCACTCTTCGTGACTTTTTCGATTATATACAATCCTGATAAATTTTTGCAAAGGGTTTTTAAAGATTTCGTCAACTTTGTACTTATTTTCATTTTTAATTCTAGGAAACCGTCTCATCCTGATTTGAAATGCTGGCGACAACCGCGAGGGAGTAGTTTAACAACAAACGTGGACGAAACGGAATGTAAAGAAAAAACCGTTGAGGATTGTTGCGTAACAAACGTGAACGAGCAAGGAGAAAAAACGGTTTGCACTGAAAATAAAAGCATTCTTGTTGTAAATGGTCACGTAGAGCATGAGGATCATTCTCCGAACGGGCTGCCGAAAGTGAAAGAAGAACGTTCCTCCACCTCACCCCGTCCTGAGGAGGGCCCTGGGGACACCAATAACAATATACAAGATAAAAGCGTACCCTTGTTGAGCACAGGGTCAGTTTTAATGTCATCACTTTCCAGCTCGTCAGGAACAGGGGCGAGTGCTGTGAGTGGAAGTACTGAATCGCGTACCGGTGGAAGCGAAGGACAATTAGGTGTGATAAAGAAGGAGGAAGATCCGCAGTCTCCTATCCCGGCTTTAGTTCCTGCCGGTGAACGGACAGTGTTTATGAAAAGTGCGTCATTACCTGAGCAGGGGAAATCTGAAGAGGAATCTGTCAGTAAATCAGAAAATGTGCAACTTGCGGTAAAGCCCGAAAATGACACGGAAGGGACTGGGCAATCAGCAGAACTGAAGCCCCATGGGGGGTCATCTAGGGTTGATCAGGCTGAGGTAAAGACATCCCCCGGTGAGAGCAACCCCAAGGTAGGATCCGAATCACAGGTTAAACAGGAGAACGAGTCAAGAAATTCAGCCAGTGCAGCGGGGGCTCGAGAGAGTGAGATCAAGACAGAAAATCAGGAATCTGGGCAGAGTTTGTCAGATGATGAGAGCGTGGGAGCTATCAACAATCTGCTGGATGATATCACGCAGATACAGGATGATTTGGAAGGACGTATGGATCAGATTGAACAACAGTTAGCAGGTGAGCTAACTGATTGAACTTTCTCGAATCTTGATTGAACGTTCTCGAATCTTTTCCAAAAGCTTTCAGATACCAAATTGCGCGTGACCACGCATGCACGACCTCGTGGGATAACGCGTGCACAACAATCGCGTGCACAACAATCGCGTGCCCACGCGTTAACGACGGGGCGAGAAAACTTGTAACTGAGAGGTGCAGGACTGCGTGAGGCTTTTAAATTATTTTATTTCGGTTCAAGCACATTGTGTGTCTCCAAACCCACTAGACAAGTTTTTTTTTTTACATCCTGGGTTAAAGCTGCCCTCAATATTACACTCGTGCCATGTTTGTGCGAAATCCAAGTGTTTAATACTCTGTTGCTTTCAAGATGAGGACTGGTGCAATGAACATAGCAGCCAAACGTTTATACGGCTTGGTTGCGTGTTTTCAGGCTTCAGAAATCAGGTTGTCTTTCGAGAGTCATCACAAGCACACAGCATAATGTCTCACGAAAACAACCGTACAACTATTTAGACTAAACTCATAATAAAACAGTAAATCAAAAGGATACACGTAATCAAATGTTCTATGAGTTCGTAAATTCTGGAGTTGAATTTTCCTTGGTTTTCATTCCTTTACTAGTTTTTATGAAAATATCAATGTCTCTCGCATATTTCGCGTGATAGCGGTTATGTTTTCCTTGAAAATTATTTTCTGGAAATTTGCGCGGCGGCCAAAATTGTCCCCCTTGCGCATGCCCGACGTTTGACCAGTGTGCTGCTGCAAAACTTTTCTTTTTAAAATGAGTTTTTATTCGTGCGAGAGCTAAATAATTTTTTTCATATCAAGGGCTTAACATTTAACCTAGTTTGAAAGCGGAAGCGTAATACATCTTAAGGAATGGCTTAGATCCATTTGTATTTCAGTAACGTGTTTCTCTCCTTGTCACTTGTAGTTCTGGAAGAGGCTTATGGTACACCTGCCCAGCCTAGTAGAAAAACAGACTTCAGAAACCTTGTCAGGAACCTCAATCGCGTCAGGTGCCTTTTACAACAAGTCAGCTAGGAACCTCTCACAGCGATAGTATCTGACTTATAACATCCGGGATATTCGTACCCGGCAAATGCCGCTGACGCACGGTAGGCATCATTTCTGTTCTGCGCTGGGCGTAGTCCTCGATAAAGCTTCCTTTCGGTAAAAGTGTACGACCCATGTGTTCTGTAGGGTAGCCATGTTACTTAATAGGCTATTTTTGTACGGCAAATACGCAATACTCGCTCTATGGTATGATTCTCTTCTACAGAGTTTTATTGAAAGCATGAGATGATATACTTAGAATCGGAAATTGTTCGGAGATTTTTTGAGAACAACGCGTGTCTCTTCAAATCTATCGGCAGTCGTTTAGACACACGTCGTCTTGTTTGATCTTAATTTGAGTCTTTAAATAGTTAAACGACTTAAATTGACTGCTTGTTATTGTGGCTTGTAAATTGATGACTAGTTTCCTGTCTTAGAAATACTTCCTCTTTCATTCATGCGTAATATGATGAACTCTCCTTCCTGTTCGGTATTTTTTTTCCCTGTGGGTTTATAAATATGTGAAAATCAAATACAAGGTAATGATTGTGGCATAGAGAACATTTTGAGATGACCTAAGCTTCACAAATGAATAGGAACAAATGGACACGGGTCTCTTGTAAAAATACGATGTCAAATATGTGAATAAAGAGATACTTCAAAGCGATGTTTATTTGATTTCACAAATTATAGTAGACTTATCATTGTTGAGAGGTCTCCGCGGAACTTTCGCTTCGTGAAAAGATCCTCTTTTATGTTAATTTTGTTGTTTTCTCTTGTTGAGTTCACTGCAGTCAACTCTCCGCTAACAGACACTCTTGTAAGTGGACAGTTCTACTTATGCACACTTTTCAACTCCCCTTTTGCAAATAAAAAAAAAATACGGCTTGGTTGCGTTGCTTTGACAGAGCAACATAAGAGAAGTGATCGGTTTTTCGTCAAATCTCCAGTTGTTTACGGGAAGCAAGTTGTCTGTTTTTTTTTGTTTTTTTTTTTTTTACATTAACCAGAGTCCGACATAACGCTCCCACATAATTGGAGATGCGCTCCATTTTGCCTTGGTGTCCGCTTATGAGTTAAATTTCTCGTAGGCCACTTTCTTCAATTCCAGAGGGTGTTCACTTACTTATCAATTCATGCTCAATCTCGTCCGCTAATTGCTTAATGTTTCATTTACATATCACCAGGCGGGGGACTTTGGCTGGACGAAAGAGGTTTTAAGACTAGAATGTCTAACCATTAGCGGATTTCTAAGCAGTGTCGGAACGAAATGAGCGTGGGTTGTTACTAGAAAAGAGGCTTCCCTTCCCTTAAGTGTTGGTCACTAATATTTGGGTCGATCCGAAGAGCGTCAGCTTATATCTCGTATTTTACCAGGGGTTCTAAAATTGCACAAATCCTACAGAGACGAATTTAGCAGGAACGAAACTGTCTTATAATCCGTGTTTACACATCAGCAAGAACTTGACTAACAGAAAATGAAACACCGGGGCAAAGAAAGCGAAAAAATATTAATAAATTGGCATTGACAGTGGGTACGTACAGACACAATTAGAAACTCTGGAGGGTAAACACATATGAAAGCGAAATTACGGAAACTGGCTTATTTTGACGTGCGCAACTCGTTGACACTACACAGGTGACTGGTGCTTTTCGTGCGCACTGATTGGTTGGTTCGAAAAAGTAATGGCCACCGTGAAGAGTTTCAAAAGCTGACTCGGAAGAAAAACTAATGCCCGAAACGTCAGCATAACAAGACGCATAACTGCGTGAACTCTGGCTTCTTACGGGGTCTCGAACTATAATACGCACTCGGTAAAATATCTTGTGTCAATGTACAATGAAGTTGAACCAGGATTCGTTTCTATATCTGTCGTCAACTTAATCTTACAATAATTAGATATGTTGGTCTCGGTCTTATAAAGACACATAACTCTCCTACAAGGAAACAATAACAAATACTGTCTAGCTTTGTATTTCCATTTAATTATCCTTTGATAAACCCTCCTGGAACAATTCAGCAAAACCGTTTCATGCTGTATGATTTTATTTAAGTTTATTATCTTTGTACCACGCTTACATTTATGTTTTTCAATTTTTGAAAATTTTCTGACCTTCACATGAGTGTAAAATTGCAGCTTGGAAGACTTTGGTATACTTGGAAGAATACGCTTGTAAACAAATTCCATCATTTTTCTGCTCTTGTTCCTCAGACATTTCAGGGTTCGTACTGGTATTCTACTGGGTTCTCGATCACGTCTAAATACACGATAAAGTCTACGTAGCTTAACAGTAAATAGCTGATTTGATATTGCATAACCCTCGATGATGAGAACGTTCACTCATAATCATGAGTTCGCTCGTAAATTGATCTCTCATAAAGTTCGCGGACCGCGGGTCTACCCCAAACTGTGTTTACCTTCGTGCGTGTTTTTAGCGTCTTAGACTCCATACTGTTCACTCTTTCTTGGTTCAGCAACAACACCTTCGATAAATACGCCATTGCTCAACCATGTGCGCATTCTATGCTGACTATGCATGCGTTTTAGCACGTACCTTCACGCGTGCGCCGTAGCGAGACGGCGATTTGTGACTGAACGACAACACTAAAAAAAAAAACCCAATTAATAACTCGGGCATTCTGCGAAGCCGAGTAATTAAGAAACTTTTTACGGTTGCCAATGAAGAAATGTAAAATGGTTTCCGTGTTTACATAGCTCGATAAGCTGGAAACCACTCCGCTTCGCGTCGTGGTTTCCTACGCACATCTCGTGTTCTCCCAACCTCTCAAGTGTTTACATCAGGCTATGTAAACACGGAAACCATTGTACATTTCTTTTATAAAATAACTAATGAAAGAGGAACGAAAACCGTGTTTACACACGCTCATGTAAAATGGTTTTATGGCCAATCAGAGCGCGCGTACTATTTGAATTATTTTATAATTTATATTAGCAACTCAGTTTAAATATCCTCTACCGCAGTTTCTGTAGGAAGTTACCCCCTTTTAATCATGGTTCGAAAGTGATTAGCAAGTATTGATCACCTTCGAGCAGCCCAGGAGACAAATCGTGGGTCAAAAGTTCAATTTCCGACCATGAAATAAATTATGTAGAGGTAATAACATGATTTGATGTAAATGAACACATTTTTCAAAGAAAACATTAATTTGTGTGACGTGGGGCGAGTGTAATTTGTATTCTTAAAAAATGTATGTGTATAGTTACATCAAATTCCATGAGAAATCATATACTTATTTATTATTTGTTTGAAAGAAACATCACAGAAAGCAAGAGAAAGCAAGTTTATAATCTCTTGCAGACAGTCAAGACAGACGAGATTCTGACAGCGCTCGTAATTTGCAATCGTGTTACAACTTGGCACTCGTGTAGTAAACAAGACGCTTAAGGACTGTTCACCTCTACCTCGGCGAGTAACTGGTAAATAATTCTTGCGGTGCAAGTCGTGAAGAATGACTAAAGTAACAATTCAACTTTCGTAAGGTGCGAGCTGTCCCTACTTGGATCATTTTCCTACAAGGTTTGATAGTCAAGCCACCAACTCGCTTGGATTATTCTTTATCTTTTCTGTATCAAGGCAAGAAAACTTCACTCGGGGGTATCCGGACAGGGTTGAGGATCGTGCGCTACCCCTCTACCGACAGTAATTAAGTTCTCTCGCTCAATTTCCCCTCATGATGTTCATTCGTCGATTATATCTTACACTGACAGCTGCAATATGAAGAAATTGTCCTGCAGCAATCTCACGCGTCTTTAATTAGAGGTTTAGAAGTTCCCTCCTCTCTAAAACTCGAAACGTCAGCTTTCGAAACCCTTTACGTCGGCCGGTTTATATCATCACCTCATTTAGTAAGGCCAAATGATCTTATACGCCCCACCGAGGTAGTACCACAGTTTCTTTAGAAACTTATCTCCTTTGTTCAATGCACATAGTTCTATTCATTATCTAGACTTAAAGCTGCATTTTGTCAAATACTGATCAACTTTTAACCAATTTCTGAAACGGAATTTGATATTGGAGGTACCAAAACCTTGGAAGATATTTGAATGTTGAACGAGTTTAGGGACTTCTCCGATATCATTAATTCACGCCCTTGTAAAATGATATCACTCGTATCTCTAAAGTATTCTATTAATTCTACCACTCCCAGGAGTGACCAAAGATAAAAACTGAACACGATAAAAACACTTTAGAGGAGTAGAGTGACACAAGAAATCAAGACAGCAAACTGACCTAACCCTTGGGAAATTGTTTGCTCTAGTACCTCATTCTTAGAGCTAAATTTAGGAGAAATGCTGAAAAGATAAAAAGACAAACACGCCATCGTTTTAGCGTAACTCCATTTTCTGCATATAAACCCACACACAACCCACAATTCCTCCAATCGCTCTGACGAAGGGTTTCCTCTCGAAACGTCAGCCTTAAAACTCTTTACGGTGGCCAATTTACGTTTTCAACTCAGTTGTTATTGAAGAAATGTGAAATGGTTTCCGTGTTTACATAGCCTGATGTAAACACGCGGGAGGTTGGGAGAACACTCGATAAGCTGGAAACCACGACGCGAAGCGGAGTGGTTTCCTACGCTTATCTTTACCTTTACATCAGGCTATGTAAACACGGAAACCATTTTACATTTCTTTTATAAAATAACTAAAGAAAGAGGAAAGAAAACCGTGTTTGCATACGCTCATGTAAAATGGTTTCATGGCCAATCAAAGCGCGCGTACTATTTGAATTATTTTACAACACTAAATATGGTTTTTCGCCTCGTTGTCCTCTCTCTCTTTATTTTTCCCTTTTTGGAGTAATTCAAATCAAAATCACGTTCTACAGAGACATAATTGTTGCATTGGAAGAATTTATTTTGAAGGGATCATGAGAAACCACTCGAGGCGAAAGGCGTGTACTCCCTAGGGAACTTTATAATTTGAATCACGATAACAGTAACCCGAACGGCAATATGAATCGATTTTTTTTCTTTTCGATTTAAGCCGTCTGTGAAATACAACATGAAACTTTTTGCTGTATTGAGAACAGATGAAATTTGCCTATTGGCCATCAAGAGCTATTTGAGAATTTTAAAAAAGGGCTAAATCAAGCGCTTAGGTTTGTTGTGAACGTGGTCGATCTGTCATTCTTTGGCATAATTTTTAAGCCAATATTTATTTTGAAATCATCAGGTCATAATGGCATCACTTATATCTAATGTCTGCGACGTGTTTCCGATTGATATTGAACAAAATGTTACATCGGAAATGGGTAAACGTGGCAAAAAGACTTCGCTGAAACTATGCCAAAACAAACCGACGATTTCAGCTTTCAACGAGCAATCGTTACTGGAAAATTTCATCTAGTTTTTTATTACTTCTTACTCACCTCTTTTTTCTTTTAGCGAACTTTGAAGAGGTTTGGCGAAGAATTTGATTTGCAGATTTTTTTCATTCAGTTTAATTGAATCAATAGCCACTATTGTCTTAAAGAACAATTAAGATATGCGATTAGTAACTTGACAAGAAAGACTGCAGCGCCTTCAGTCTGTTTCCTAGGAGAAGACAAGAAGACCTGCAATCTTTGTCTTCAATCTTAATCAAGTTCTGAGAAACTCCACGGGGGATTTAAACAAACTTACTTTTTTCTGTAATGGGTCAGGATCAATTTCATCTTAAAACGTGTTTGACTATCAAGATGTTTGGTCTACATTACACGTTTAAAAAGTATCGAATAACTCACTCGTGGAGACCTTTCGAATACACAGATATAACCTCTGTGTTTTATTTATCTGCGCGTGTTTGTTTCAACACGATAAAGGAAGCCCCTTTGTTTTGAATAGAACACGTCGCCGATATTAATCGCGCGTAACATTGTATTGTTTATTTAGATGAACCATTAAACTGGTTTATAAATATTACTCTGATAAGATAATGCACGTTGAACTTCCTGAGTAATAAAATTCCGGAAAAACAAGGGGCCCGTGTTTTTTCTAATAATATACCGTGATCCAGCTTACCGCGATGAGTAGAGTAGGTATAATTAATACTTTGCGCATGTTTTTTATCTAAATTTCAAACACGTTGAAAAAGTAACCTTCCTTTTTCATCCCATTCATCAAAATTAGTATCAGCAAAAAGCTATTGTATCAGGTTTATTGCTAATGTATGTTGCGGTTTAGTGTGAGTTTATCTAACAAACTTAGTAATGAACTGCGATAACTTTTTAATCATGCTTAGTCACTCCTAGCCGCGTGTTTAACAAATCTCAGATCCTATAATTGTATCTAGAGGAAGTCTACGTTGAAACAAAAAATTTTTCCTAAACCTTGTCGTAAATTAATTCTTTGTTTTAAAAGCCTATTGTTGATCTCTCTTTTTGGTCCCAAAAAATTTAACAAAAGCCGTAGCTGATAGCTGGTGCCACCGATGAAGCTTCACTAAATGTGCTTTGAGAAAGCCTAAATTTTAGACCGGAAAACGTTTCATAGAGAAACTGAAAAATCATGAAATTGTTTTAGTTTTTAAAGACCTAGCCGCGAAAACACGTGTAATTACTGAAACTCTTGATGAAACTGAAAAACTGCATACATATGGACCATTCAGCGCGTATTTCGTAAAGATGCAAATTTTTCCACGGGGAACATCCCAAGTTAATTATATGAGGTCTCTTTCCGATAAAGCACTAAAACCCTTCCCATGGCGAATCGAAAGCTTAACTCTATTTGACGGCTGGATGTACGTTATAACTATTTTTGTACTGTGACCGGTTTAAAGAGCATCACCGTAGCTCATACGAAACCACACAAGACAGTAATTGGGCATTTCCTGTTTATGAACATGTGATATTTAAATGACGGCTAGCAGAAGTTGAAAATAGATTCTTGAATGAATGACTGTACATGGTAAATTCCCTCGCTGTCTCCCTTAGGAAAAATAAAGTTGTCGGTAATTTATGCTACACGAGTTACATAAAAGCAAGGTTATTCAGTAAAGTCAAGAAGCTAATTCTTTCTTTGGAATTGCAAAACGGCACATCTCTACTGTTCCTTTTAAGTGTTTATTTGCGTACCTTCCCATATTGGGAAGAAATTTTTAATAGTTAACCATTAAACTCGAACAAAAAACCTTGGATAGGAATGTTAACAACCGCACAGCGTTTGAAATGCGTATAGGCGTTGTTTGCTAACTCGTGCAGCGCAATTAAATCGTTCTTGTAAACATTGACAAAAAGTTGGAAGGTTTTTTCATCGCGTAGGATCGAAACTATATTTATTGAGTAGCATCATGACCGTTAAATAACACTTTTGATATGAAAAGAATAACGACAGCTGTCTGGGATAATATCATGAGGGCTCTGTGCCAGCAAGCCTCGATCTGATTGGTCAGTGAAAGTTTTAAAAGCCTCACAGTAATTTTCCTCGGTTGCACCGAATCAAGCTTCATTACAAGCGTTGTAACGCTCGGCACGCGCAACTCAGGTAGAAGGGTAAGTAAATTTAGGGTAGTTTTTTTGTTTGATCACTTAATTCCTGCAAACGATTTCCTTTCCCAGAAGTTTGCGTGTTTGGGGTCACACCTTTGAAACTGAATCGCCCACACAGAATTTCATTATCAAATTGTGAAATACCGTGATGTAGTTTGCAAATGTAACAGTGTGATGTCAGCGCTTGCCGTGCTGCTAACGATCTTTCTATGAAGAAGTTTAACATGGAGCGAAGTGACTCCATGAAAGTTTGCGGAGCGCGAAGTGTTTGACTCATAGAGGTAAACTGATGCGAGTTATTCTTTATCTGACTTTTCGTGCTTTCAGAGATTCCGTAATTTGCTTCAATTAGACTACAATGCATCATCGAAAGAAACTTCGCCTCCGCGACTGGCTTGTGATGAATATCAATGAAGGCCGATTTGGTTTGAGATGGGAAGGAGACCCAAAGGACAGAATGTTTAGAGTACCGTGGAAGCACGGCAGTCGGCATGGATGGAGCGTTGAAGATGCTGCTCTGTTCCAAGCTTGGGCTACATACACAGGAAAGTATAAAGAAGGCAGGGATAAAGCTGACCCTCGAAAGTGGAAGACGAATTTCAGGTGCGCCCTAAACGCTCTGCCTGATATCAAAGAAATTCGCACCAAAAGTTGTCCGCGTGGAAGGGATGCATTCAAAATCTACCGAATGAGGCCGCTTAGAGGCAGAGGTAAGCTTAGCTTACATTAAGGCTAACATTGACTCCAGGAATTTTTGTGATATATATAGAGAAAGCTCTGAGTTCACCGTAATGAATACTGAGACAACGAGTCCTCAGGTGACAGGAAAAAGGAACAGAATTGGGCAATATTTTGTGATACCGCAAATCTAGCAAACAACTGCCGTGCAATCACAAGTAAAATGTTGCAACTTACTAAAATTGAAGTAGAAACCTTAGCAAAAAAAAGCATCAGTGAAAACTTCTCTTCCATTCAGAGTGTCAGCGATCATTCGCGATTCCACTTAAAATCAGAAAAGTTTGTTTTGCTTGCGCACGAAATGAGAACACAACTTTACTGACTTGCCAACGACTGAGCACCTGATATTGGCAATTTCCTTCATCCTAGAAAAAAGGAAACCGTGCCGGGAATGGAACATCCAGACTTATTTGACCTCAAACATTGTCAATCCTAAGCAATGTTTTTTTTACAAACTATTATCGAGTCAACTTGCCGTCAATTAAAGAAATTCTTTCATAATGATCACGTTTTTGCTAGCTGTAGTTTGGTTTGCTAAATTGTTGTTGTTGTATTCAGTTGAGCCAACAACATGTAGTAGCGGTTACTTTAATTTCGATGGCTTTCCAAAAACATTTGTACTCGTCAGTGTATTCTAGGCCATTTTTCCCCAACAAAAAGGTAGGTATTCATTCAGAATTTGGTAGAATAGACTCCATTACACAACCACCCGTAATTAACGTCTACATCAAACTAGGCTTTCCCACAGCTCAAAGCTTTGCGCTTGAGCTAAAAACGCCTTCATCAACGAGAAATCATCTTTAGCAAGTGCGGAACTTGCAAATATCGTGGCAAATATCTACCAAATGTCCTTCCTCCTTTCACAGGTTGCTGAGTGTGGGATTTCTTTTGTCTTTCTTCTGTGCTGTAACACGAAGTAACTGAGAAATGAAATTTAAGATAGACTTTCGAACGTAAGCAGATTTTTTTTTTATCTTTATCTGATGCAACGGTGTGGTGCATCAACAATTCAACTAATTCGGTGAGGTTTGTTTATTTAAAGAACACGAGCATTAGTGAACTAGAATCTAATAGCGCTGCAAAACAATATAAACTATGAAGGAAAAGAAAAGGTAATCTATGTTGGGAGAGATCGGATCAGGCCTCCTTGCATGGTTACTTTCACTTTCGTCGAAGAATCATCGCGAAGGAATCATTTCTATAAACAACTTTTCCGTTGTTTGTAAAGAAAGTAATCGGATTTTCCCAACTGAGTGTGTTTCACAGTTCGTCCTCAAAAGACTTGAAAATTAGTGGTTCGGCCAGCATACGATCATGTAATCTTTTTGTTTTAATAATTGCATACACTTGAACATGTACTTGTGAATGTGAACAAAAAGCTGGAAAAACCAGTTTCGCAGCAAGTTGACGCACATGGCCACGATTAGTGCTATTTCGGGAAGTTGACAGCGGCGAAATGCACAAACGGTGACTTGCGAATTTTGCGACAGGTAGACCGACAGGTACTCTTCAAAATGGGCCTTTTCTTCATCTTCAAACACGTGTTTTGTCAACTTAAGCTTCAGCAATTGTAATTTAATGTTGCATCGTCGCTTAAGTGAATAGCAAACTGAATTTTATTTGCCATCCATTTCTTCACTGGGACAAAAGTTTTACCGATGTGACTTGAAGAAAATTAGCGATACCAAGAGCATGAGTGAAAACCAGGAAATAATCAGTATTTCGCGTTTCAACTGAATTTCTATTAAGTAAAGACTTGTTCAGTAAAAAGTTGGAAAGCTTTAATTAATAATAATTTGATAATAAATATTGTGGTTTTCTTTCACTGTCTGGGCTTTCGGTACGTGATCGCCCAGATTTTTGCGTGAAAGAATAATTTTTGAAGCGCGCTGACGCTTTAGAGATGTGATTTAATTTTTGATCTTCAGACAAGACAGGATTGATTGAAAAGATGTAGCCCTTCGGCAATTTCAGCACGGTTCAGACAATGAGTTTTAGGAACTAAATAGAGCACTAGAGAACTGAAACCACGATGATGGAAAGATAAAGTTTGAATGAACTTTCAATGAATCAAAAAGTTAATTAGCACGCTGTACTAAGCTCTCATCATTGAATCAACTCAATCACTTTCTTGAAATGAATTTCAAGGCTCTTGATTAAAAAAGTAAACAACAAATTGTATAAAATATTGAAACAAAACCCCTTTGTCGTCTCGAAGAAACTTGTCATGAATGATTTCAAAATTGTATCATGATCACGTAGAGATAAAAGATTTTCCCTGTTCTTTTCACAGAGAATCCGCCTTTGTTGTCCACCAGTCAGACAACGGAAATAAGAAGGAGCGAAGCCGTATTTCAGCCTCCAAGACTATCTTTTAGAGAGACCAGTTTTCCGACTTTGGGCGTGTGTTACCAGGTAAGCAAGTTTCCATGCTTTCTCATCTCATACACAAATTTAGTAATTCCTGCAACAGCTGGAGTGAGAAGCATTTTTCTTATGGAAAACATGTAAAACTCATAAAAAAAATCATCCTACATTTGACTTTTTTGCTTCCGGTTTACCTCGTAATTCGTGGGCCGCTTAAAACAGATTTTTCTTTCCAGTGGTTCTAAACCCTTCTCTATCTCCTCCAAATATATGTAAAAAAATCTAAAATAAACGGCTTAATTTCCTTTAGTTACCTTTCGTCAGGTAGTCCTAGCAATAATCTTTATTTCTGAAGCCCTCATTGCCAAATTTGAGAATTGCACCCGCGACTTCTGGATTCGATGCGCGCGGAGTACACGCGGTCATGTCCGGCTCTACACGCACGATATCTCTTCGGTTTCATCGGTTCTACCCAGACTGGCGAAGTCTGCTTACTTCAACTGATTTTTTGAGGATTCTGATCGAATTTCTGGGAATTCCCTGTATTTGAAAAAAGCTAACGAGATAATCAACACTGAATTTAAATGACAAGTTTGGTTTTTAGATGGGGTTTGAAGATATTGAAGAAATTTATCTCAAATCCACTGACGTTTTACAGAAATTTCGAAGAGATATTTCAATCGGCGATTTCAAGTGATATCGCTTTCGCAACGCGAAACAAATATTGTTCCACCAGTCAATTTCTCGGAATTCTAGGTTCACGAGTTACATAAGAGAGAGCGATTTAGGAAAGGAAAGTTTTCCACCCCTCAAGAGATTTACAGGAAAAAAAATTGCTAGATCTGCGAATTATAGCTTGAAGTCAATCTTTAATCTCATAGCTACCCTCTCAATTTTATAAGTAATGATCTCGCTTGAGCGTCCTAATTAGTAGGCAGAATTGATTTTTTTTACGAACTCCACTCGCCGACTACTTTGAATGAATAAGAATTCGATATTCCACGACCGCTTAAATCATAATAAAATTACTTTCACTTTCATCGATTCAGAGACATTTCACTACAAAAGAGCAATGTGGTTCCTAAAATTCACATCATTAGCTAAGGTAACACAAACAGCCGACGAACCTTACACGCTGCGTAATTACGCATGACTACTCCGCCGCTGCTCAAAGCTTCTGCGTTTACATAATGACTCACCTCACAGCTTTCTCCGGATACAATCCTTATGTCATAAAAAATCCTCCAATTTATCCAAATTTGCATCAACTCAAAGAATGCTTTTCACAAACGTGTCATGTCAAAATGACGCTTGGTGACGTTTCTTGGAAATCAGTTGAAATATTATGCCTTATCATTTTGGGAATATAGAGTTACGAAAATGAAACAAAGCGAACAAAAGATTGTTTGTATTTGAAATAGTTGCGTGACCACAGCTGCTATACGGATGAAGAGCGGAACCGGAAGTTGCTTTGCAAACTACATTTGGATGTTGAAACCTTCGAGAGAACGGTTTTACAGTTCCTTTGGGATCTCTTGAATCACAAGGGTTGATTACGGATATACGGACGTCCCTCATTCGGTGGTGTTAGCACGACTAAACGATTTTTAATCTCCTTTGATAATATCGAGTTTCCCGGAAAGCAGTTGTTAATTGACACCCAAGGTGATAATATTATAAAAACAACTTCCCGCGATATCTGAGGGGTTATTTTTAAGACTAAATCATCCGTATGACAGAATCAATTTCTCAAGATCGTCTTGGAAAAAAAAAAACGTTTTGTTATGAGAGATCTTTAAAAATTTCGGAGGTTTTTCCAAAAAACTGTGTACTTTATGGGGTGTCAAAAATAAACAATAGTACCCCTATAAATTTCGCCTCCTATAAACACAATTGATTGCGCAAGTTTAACTTTTATTTTCAGCCCTCTTCCTACCCGGCAGAGCCGGAAGCTTATGACAGATGGCCGTGTCGAGGTAAGCTTACTTGTAAATGGAATTATTTGGGGCTCTTTCTATAAACACAGTCAATGTTTTTGCATCCTTCCCTCGGACTTTTCCGTTAGAGCCCTACAAACTGACTGGCCCGGTATCAAGAAAGACGGACAGTTTGTCTGATGGTCTTATTGGTTACCGAGCTTAAATTTCGAGAAATTTCAGCTCAGTTACTGAGATGAATTAGACATGACCGTCCCTCGATTGGGCTGAGAGGTTGAAATGTCTGGGCCACCAATATCTAGGCCAGCCCGCCTCCTTATGTGGAAACAATGAGATTTTCATTGCAGTTCTACAGCTGGGGCGAGATCTAAGCAACCAAGCAAACCTGTTTGACTGGGTTCGTGTGAAGACACCTGCCTAAGTAACTTTGAACAATTTGATCTGTTTATTTGAGAGAAAGGTTAACATGAATGTTAACTAGATTGGGAAATTCCCTTTTAAACACTTCGGTTTTGAAACTGGCTTAGAACCCGAAAGGTCGTGGTTTTTTTCCCTTTGGCAACCAAGCGAAACTGTTTCCACGTGAGACATCCTGCTGAGTTTAACTTCAAGCTCGGTTACAAGAGTGAAAAACTAAACCCGATGACGGTTGTTGCATTGGGTGGCAGTCTAAGCATAATTTCAAAACGCGAGTTGCCACGAGCGTATACGTGGGCACGCGCGGGGATAAACGACCAAAGGCTCCTTTTTTTCCTCGCGTGTTCATCGCGTGTTTCAAATTTAATGGCGCACGCGCATTGAAAACCTCGTTCCCAGGATTCTCCCTCTCCTTAGATCGTGGGACTTTGACTTGCGCCTGCTGAGCAATGTTAATGTTATGGATTAAAATAAGTGAGTTTTACGTAGGTTCCAGGGGTGAGTATAAATGAGAGCACTAAAACTTTCGTTTCTCTTTTTTTAACGTCTTTATTGTAGACAGAAGGGAAAGTACTGGATTGAGTGACGAAGAAATTGTTAACGTAAGAAAGGCTTCGTTCTGTTTTGTTTGTTTAGGAACTATCACAGTCTTGCCTTTTTTTTATAACGCTTATCATAATGGCCAAACAGAGGTGACCTGAGTAAACCTGCGCTGACGTCTCAACCAATCAGATGCGAAACTGAAGTCCCACGTGACTTGGTCGCCCGCGCTTTCCCGCGCTTAAGGCTGTTGTCTTGCTTTTGTTTTTAGTTCCCCTTGGCTACTTGTTACAGGTCACTTTTTCCAAATGATTGTCGTTATAGTTTGATTTCTAGATTTTTGGTTCAACAACACTCATTTGAAGTACGCTTAATCCTAAACCTGAACTCAGCAAAAGTAACGCGCGGTTTTTGGCATTCGACGAAAACAAATGCAGCAGCTGCAAAAACGACTCGCGAAGCTTTCCGCCCCAAGCCTCTAGCGGCTTCACTGTAAGGTGCGCACAAATCCGCCCACTTAAAGCATTGTGCCTGATTGGTTGAAAAGGTGGTGTGAGTTTTATAGACCAATCACAAAGCGGTTAGAGGCAAAACTAAAGTAATTCCAGATTTCTTATTGACATGCAGTTGTTAATCAACTTTTTTCTGAATTCTACAGTTGGTACATCAAATGATGAGTGAAGCAAGTTCGCCAGAGTATCTAAGCTCACCAAATCTTAGCTCTCCAGGTGGAAGTGCAGATTCATACCATGCTGGTTTGAACCCGTTCCAGTTCCCATGATGCCTTCTTACAGCTTGTTCGCAACCAGTCTTTCTCTGAAAGAGGTTCGCGTTGTTCCAAATACGATAAAACCAACTTAGTGTTGGTGTAGATGTTATGATTTAGTTTCCAAGCACTTAAGTTAGATTTACTGTCTATGTTCTTTTTCCGTCTGTTTTGTCTTATCTTAGGAAAAAATAACTAAAAAAGCGTTCACTAATACAATTTTTTTAACAGAGGAAGCAAGCTTAGCACTTGATCCAGGATTCGGTGCAAACACCCTTTTGAAGAACACGTTAATAGGCTTTTTGATTTTCAGTGAGAGAGAATCAAGCCAAAAAGACCGGTTATTTGGACACGTGCACATAAGCTTATTCCTAAAGAAATCGGTGTTTTCGGAAATCCGATGAAAACTCCATAAATCACTTGTCTTCTGGTGATAGATTCAGTCTCAGCTTAATCTCTCTTCCCTCTTAGGTTTGTCACAATAAGAAAGGTTTTTTTTTTTCGTTTTGATACAATTCGCAAAAGCGTTAGCCCGTAATCGTCAATTTCAATTCTGAAAACGCTTAACGTAACTTGGTGTTGCAAGAAATTGAGGCGACTTTGTTAGGAAATGACTTGAAGCACAACGACTAGACCCAAGCCTCTGGTTCAAAAGCACTTGGAGCACCTCGTAACAGTTTTGTTAAATGGGATTCATCTCGCGCAGATTCTTTCTTCTAATACCCTAACTAAGCGCGATAAAGTAAATACCAAGTATTTTTTTAAAGTAAACTTCAAGAGTTGTATTGCATGATAAAGCTTTCAAGAGCAAGGGTAAATGAATCTTTATATTGGCCTCTATGGGTGTCATGGAGTGATAAGATTCGATGTAAAGTTTTGGGAAATAAAAATACGCCAGAATTTCAAGTTTTTCACGGTTACTTGATTGATATTAATAGGCAAAGGAAGGAGAGCTCAGAAAAGGTCTGGAAACGAGTCGAATGCCCATCCAGCCCGAGTTCAAGAAGTGATAACGAGTGTTACCACTCCCCACCTAGATGGGGTGTCCGTCCATGGCAAGCATGACTTCAAGTTCGTTTGACATTTCGCCGGTACCTATTTATACTCCTGGTTATGGAGAGGCACACTGAAAGTACAGTGTCTTACCTAAGAACTCAACACAGCGATCCGGACAGGTTTCGAACCCAGACCTCTCGACTCACAATTCAGTGCATTAACCGTCCAACCATCATTACTCCAGGGGAGAATGGGATGGGTCCGCTTATTACCCTATGTTCTCCGAAAACTGGTCAAGGTGACGAGTCACGGTCTTTGTCGCGGGCTTCAATTTCGGGTCGTCATCAAAAAGAGGAGAGCACACTGTTGTGTGACATGCCAAGGGATCAAAGGGTTAAAGGTGATAAAGTCAAATTAACTCCCTTCCTCCTTCCCTGAACTTGAGCGAATTTAGGTAGAACGAGGGTATGCATGCCCCCCTCCCCCCCCCCCCCCCCTCCTTCGCCTCCCAAACTTTTCGTGGGACTGTACTAAGATTACACCCTTACCACAACAATACTTTGGACACCTATTTCTCAATGCTCTGGATCTGTGACCGCCGAGAGAAAAGGGTTGCATCAAAACGCACTGATCACAACAAAATTTGAACTGACGAGTGAGGTAACGAGCAGCTGCGGCTTATTTGTTTGGTGACTAGTACACGACCTCCAAAATAGAGAAGATGACAGCCGCACGCGCCCGCTGTACTCAGCTGAACTTCAAATGTCAATATGGCGAACACTGAAATGCCGCAATGCAACACTTTTGAGAGTTATAATTCTAGTCGAATGATCAGTACGTCTTTCGCATCTCCTCTGAACTCTTTATCTCAGCAGCTTAACAGTCCTCATGCAGGAAGTAAACGGAAGGCGAGTGAGGATCAAAACACAAACCCTGTACCCCACAAGAAAACAGCGCGTCTTGAAACTGTTGAACAGCATCCCCAACGAGAACTATTTTGCGAAATCTGCAACGTACAGCTTAATTCGATCACTCAAACTTTACAGCACAGAGAGGGGAAAGCTCATTTGAACAAACTCAAGAAGGTTGAGGAATTTAAAACGGTATGCTCGGTCAGAGAATTTATTTGTGAAATATCTTAATTTAACAGTAGTTATAGATAAGTGTGGTTCATTTATTCTTTAAATAGGTTTTTTTTTTTAACATAAGTTTTGATTGACAGATTGGTCGTGTGTTCCAGTATTTTAGGGGCTGAAAAAGTTTTTAGATGAGTAAAATCATTTTCAAATCAAGTTTAAATCAAACTACGTGCTGTTTTCGTCATTTATATCTTACAATTGTCAATTGCTGTTGCTAGGGTTTCCCGTTTTTAATTTAACTGCCAGCAGGTCTTTGGGCTAATTTGCGGTCTGGCGCAGCTTCTTCAAGCCTATTTTTTTACATGCACCTAAACAAGGAAATAAAAATAAGTAAGGTGCCCTTCGATCGTGATTCAACTATTTTTATTCTCGAAAATATTGTTTTTTTTTTGTTTTTTCTTCCAGCACGATTTACATTACAGGTAGCTAAAAAGTAGCAAAATGAAATCATAACTCCCACTTCTTTGCAAGATCATCAAATCCAGTGGAGATTTCACTTAGGGTTAGGGTTAGGATCAGCTGTTTTTCAAGCTGTTCTTCCTCATGAAAATTTCATAAAAAAATGTTTAAATTGATGGTACTTAGTTTTATAAACACCTCTCAATGGGTCATAATTAGCAGACGAGGTACAAGTCTGTATGTCTGATATTTTTGTCCCAACAACTTCCTGTGAGATTGAAATATTTGAGTGGTTCTAATGTTATTGTCTATTAACTTTTTCAATTGATTTCCACAACAAACAAAAAACATCTTTAATTTTCATGGCATGACTGACAGGAATCATGATTTTCTTTCAATAATTTCATTCATATATCTTTAGTGGTAGAATCATTAAATCCTTTCTATGTTTTCCGTTAACAAGCAATTATTACTGGGTATATCTTTCAGAGATGACATGATAAAGAATTTTGAAGGCCAAGGTTTTTCGTTATTAGCTGATTAAAAATTTACAGTCATTTAATTGCGTAGAACTACATTAAATATTTAAAACAAAGAATTTGATGCCAAATCTTAACTGCAAATGAATTTTTAACACCCTAACCTTATCACTCTACGGACAGACCAACTGGAAAGTTCATTTTATGAATGCATTTTTAAGCAGAATGGGAGAGTGCAAAGTATAAATCTGTTTATTTTAGGTTTGGCAGAATTCCACGGAACACAACTCTACCAACAGTGTTCCACTTCACCTTCAAGTAAATCACAATCTTCCTCCAGCAAAACAAGCAGGAAATGGAAATCTACAGTGTGCAATCTGTCAAAAATCATTCAACTCAGAATCACAAGCAACACAGCATTTTCAAAGCCCAAAACACAGACAGAAACTGAATAGTGTAGAAGATAGTAGAGAAGAGATAAGTTCTGCACCAGGAGCAAATGGATTGCTTACACAACAAGAACTTAATACAGATGGAACAAGTCATACCTATGATGTTCCTGGAAATGTAGATAGAACTTTTCCTCTGTCACCAGCGAAAACTAAAGCTATGGAATTATACTGTGAGATTTGTGGTTTAATGATGAACTCCATAATGCAAATGAAAACTCATCTTCAAGGATCAAAGCACAAGAATAATGTTGCTAGTATGTATCAGAATTTCTTCCTGTTTTCTCTCTTAAACAATGATTAACCCTTTACTCATTTTCAGATGATCATTATGCAATTTCTCCTTACGACTCATCAAGTCAGAACAATATGAGAATTTAAAAAAATTAAAAATTGGAGGATGTTTAATCGATCCAATGCCAAAATCTTACCACCAAAGTACAAGCAAATATATGATGTTCATTAAGGAGAATGTCTGCTTAGATATTGGTAGTGAAACAGTAACTGTTATTACTAAGCCAAAATTTAATGGCTTTTCTGTCACTGAGCCTGCTGAAAGGTTTCCCTGTTAACCCTTTAACTCCCAGAAGTGATTAACATAAAACTTCTCCCTACAATATCCATACATTCTTCAGCAAACAGGTAATGAGAATATTCAAACTTATCAGGTAGAAGCTGCTATCCTGATCTAGCACCAAGTTCTCATATTTATTATCTGTAACGCACATTTACATGTGCATAATATATAGATTTAGGTAAGCCTAAAAGCGGAGCTTGCATTTTTTTTTTCCTGCACGTCTCTTCAACAAAACTAAAGCCCCTACTATGGATAAAGTGTGTGGTAATATTAATGGATTTTCATTCGCAACTTCTCCATGTCCATGTAGAGGACTGATTATAAGGTAGTGCCCATGGTACAGTTGGCTGCACATGCTAAAAGTAGCACCTTGTATGGTCGTACGGTCGTACAGTCGTACGGTTGTACAGTCGTACGGTCGTACGGTCGTACGGTCGTACGGTCGTACGGTCGTACGGTCGTACGGTCGTACGGTCGTACGGTCGTATGGTTGTATGGTCGTACGATTGTACGGTCGTACAGTTGTATGGTCCTACGGTTGTATGGTCGTACAGTCATACGGTTGTACAGTTGTACAGTCATACATCCAGATTTTTTTGGCTAGATGGGTTACTACTATTTTGTAATATATAGATTTAGCCACACTCTGCAAGCTCTGCTATGATCAAATGTGCAAAATATTTTCAATTATGCCTTTTATATGAATTCTATTTTGTTTTTTTATTATCTGCAATATTTGTAATGAAGACTTATCTCAATTATTTTTGCTAAAGTCTTCCTTGATATTGTTGTCAAGTAAGTTTAGCCCTTGTTATTTGTGGTGCTCAGCAACTTTGTTTATTCTATAACTTGATATGCGGTTTCATTGTGTTAGAAAGTTAACCCTCTAACTCCCATGAGTGACCAATACATAATTTCTCCTTTCAACAGCAATACAATATCAGGTAGACAAGTGATGAGAATAAAGAAAAATATCAATTAGGGAATTACAAGTTGATCGAATACCAAATTATCAAAACTAACATCACAAGAACTGTATTGTAGACAGTAAGGAGAATTACTAATGAGATCTTGGGAGTTAACGGGTTAAAGGGCAATGAAACATTGACGTTGTTGTTATGTCTACTTGTGCAGTAAAAGTATGTTCTTTTGATGATCTCTAAAGATTGATTTACTGTAGATCAAAGAGAAAGTAGGCAAAGATCCTTCAGAAGGTCAATTCATAGCAGAGAGGGTCTTTGACTAATTAACTGTTCAGTCAGTTCTGTTCATTATTACCTTGCATTTAAAATTTCAGACAAGCAACCCAAAAACCATCCTCAAATTGAGTTGCGCTGTATGGATTGTACTACAACTTTTAATTCACAAACACAGATGATCCAACACATGACAAGTCCAAAGCATATGAACAAGGCAAAAAGGAAACAAACAAATGGACAGTTCACTGCTTCGACAAGAGGTAGAGGACGAGGTCGAGGGTTTGAAAGAGGGAGAGGAGAAGGTATGCAACATCAATAATTTATTTCTCCAAACTGTGTATGAGGGGGTAGGGGATCTGGGGTCAATCTGGGGTTCTGCTTCCCCACAAAAAATTTGATATTTAAAAATCTCTGAAAATTGATTTACAGCTTCCGGGGGACATATTTGAGTCAGTTTCCATTTGCTAGACATTGATCTTGGAATCACTTCAAAAATACTTATTTCTGTCTTTGATCACAATTCACAAAATAGCTGAGTACAAAATGGTGTGACATCTGACAATTTTTCGCCAGCCTGAAATAATGCAGTTGTCAATCAGAACAAGGAGAAATATCACAGGATCAATGCGAATGTGAATTAAAACATCTAAGCCGCCTAAAGTACAGGAAACTATAACTCTTTATCCCCTAAATGTGATTAGCATCTAATTTCTCCTCACTATATCACCCCTGAATCAAACATGAACGTCATGAGAATGGAGGAGATGATCACCAACTAAAGCAGCTCTTGACTGTTACACAAATTCTCCTTGTCAGCCTCTTTGGAAATGTATGGAGAATAGTATGGAGAATCTGCATACTGATGTTAGGGGGAAAAGGGATAATAAGTGACAAAGTTGCAGTTGATATTATGAATAAAGGGGTAAGTTTCTAAAGAAACTGTGGTGCTGCGTCGGTGGGAGAGTATAGCAGGCAATCTATCACTCTGACGAAGGGCTAATGCTTGAAACATCAGCTTTTTTACCCTTTACGGTGGCTAATTTACGTTTTCAACCCAGTTGTTAACACTAAATTACCTGCAGTTGATATTAGTTTTGCACCAGATTACTTATAAGGAGGTGGTGTGAGATTATTATTATTATTATTATTATTATTATTCAATTAATAAATGATTTTTCTAGCATTCAGAGGGGGATACAGCCATAGGGGAAGGGCAACAGCCAAGCTTCCTCCACTTGCAGCAAGTTTTGTCAAGGCTGATACTATGATGAGTAACCATGGCAACCATTTCTTCCACTCTGCACAGTCAACAATGAACACTACACAATTTCCTGTTGGTCCATCTTTCCAGCAGCCATTTACTTAGGTTATTTTAAGATTAGAAACGTACTTTTGCAAATGGCAAGAAGAAAGATTTACAAGATGTGACATGTCATGTAAACAATGGTAAGTTGGCTCTGGAAAATAACAGCTTTGCAAGGTGCATTTATTTTTAAGAGGCAAAACTGATGATGTTTTAGCGTAGTTACATGAGAATGTTCAACCTTGAGTCTGTTTCCATTTTTTTCCCCTTGTTGTAACCATTGTCACACAAAGGTACAGGCAAAATCTAAAGTTACAGACTTGTGCAAAATCATTTGAATTTTGAACATCGCAAAGGCTCATCAAAGAAAAGTTAATTCAGTTTGAAAAGGAATTAAAATGAAATTTATTTCATTGAAAATTATAATGAGAGAGAAGATGGAATTTTCACCTCAGAACTGGAATGAAGAGATATTTCACTGATGTCAAGAGAGTGGTACTAAGGTGGAACTTTCTTAAAAACAACAATTTTTGAAACCTCTAGTTCTTGAATATAACCTTTAACTCCCATGATTGACCAATACAGAATTTCTCCTTACAATATCAATACAATATCAGCTAGATGAGTGATGAGAGTAAAGAAAATACCAATTTGGGGATAATTAGTTGATCCAATACTAAATTCTCTGATGTAACATTATAAGAATTGTATGGTTGACAGTTAGGAGAATAACAAATTTGATCTGGGAGTTAAATGGTTAACCAAAGTTACAATGTGGTTTCAACAGCCCCCCCCCCCTCATCTCCCACTTATACCAAGACATTTTGAAAAGGGTAGGGGAGGGGGGAGGGATAAGTCAAGTTTGCCTGGGGTCAACAGGGTTAGAATGTATGATACTTACATGTTGATTTGTTTGTAAATATTGCAATTTATTGAAACAAAAATGGAAATCAAAAGAATTACAAATTTATACATTAAATTATTGTTTCGAATGGCTGTAGAGAAAAAAACAACAACTGATGTTCCCAGCCACAAATATTATGCACTTGTAATTTCCTGAGTTTTTTTCGAAGTCTTGAAATAAGAATCAATTTCAGACAGCTTAAAATTATCTTTAAAACTTTAGAATAGTTACACTACTTTAATGAAATTTGTAGACAAATTTTGTGCTACCATAAACATGGAATAAATCAATAAACACTTCTTACACGTTCTTTGCCTAAATATCATTAAAAAAAAAAAGGGCAACTTGACAGTGTTTGATAGTGTCACTGCCTACAAAATGTTGACATGTAATTTAGAACTTCTGATTTTGGAAAGAGTTCCTTTGGATTCAATTCGGGCTAACTATGAGGGGAAAAAAGCCACGCATCTTAGCAAAAGGAATTGGGAAACCCATTCTACGTTATCAGTCCCATCAAAACTAGTCATTCTACTGAAACTTATGGTGTCTTAGATCTCTTTTGTATTAATTTATTATCTGTGAACACCATGCATTTTAGCACTGCTGAAACATTTACCTTCACTGCTCTGATATCAGTTGAAAATTCATCAAAACCTCCTAAGAGACAACCAGTTTTTTTGTCTCCTATTCTTTAAAATGTTTGGTTGGAATCAAGCATATTTAGTGGAAAAGAAATTTAAACTCAAGGCCCAAAGAGATCTAACAATAACAGCTGTAGTGGCCACACTAAATGTAATTTTTTGTGTATTTTCCCAGGAATTATGCATTACCCTGCCAGATAAGGTATTGAATTCTTCAGCAATCCCCTCTCCCCAGAAATTACAGTAGTCTTTTGACTTCCTACCTAGGGACCCTTCTCTCCACCTCTAAAATTTTCAATCTTTCAGTGGGTGAGCAAGGATGTCTATCTAGATGTGTACATCATAATTAACTCAACAAAGAGGTACGACCCCCTACCTGGGGACCCCTTTCTCTACCTTTTAAAATTTTTGATCTTTTAGTGGGTGTGTGGGGATATTAATCTGGACACGTACAATAATTACTCTAAGAAAGAGTTCAAATATTTATGCCAATCTTAAGCTTATTGACAGCGCCCGCTAAACATCACGTCAGGGCTCTTTACATGGACTAATTGTAAGTTGGTCTTGAATGATCGTATAAAGCCTTGAAATTAAGATTACAATTCCTGAGTTCACGAAGGCAGCCTAAAGGATCAAAAGCATCTAATGGCAGAGAATTGCGACCACATCCGTTGAAATTCCATGGAGTTGAGGAATTTCCTTTAGTGTTGGCCTGGATCCGTTGAATTAGCGGTCAGACTAGGATCCCATCACGGTCTGCCAACTTCAATTGCTGCCCTCGGCGTTGTCTTTTAAGAATTCCATTAGTTCGGTCGGATATGCTCCCTTATCGACAGCCTTGCACCATCTTCGGTACTGAAAATTAAAACAGTATCACAAAAATAAATAATTTTGGAAGAAGCCACGGTCAGATTCATGTCAAATATCGAAAGCTCTCGCATCTTCGTTTATGAAAGAGTTCAGAAGTGGTATCACTTGCTTATGGTTGATGTGTTTGACAAATGAGTAATATTTATGATTCTTTGTGCTGATGACAACTATTACATCGTTTGATCTAGAAATAACATTTTGTATCATCAGCTATGCCAGAGAAAAAGCGAGGACGAGGAGCGTTCTGTTTTTCTCAAGAAAAAATTTTCTCGAACGATCACAAAAACTATTAGGTTACAACTTTAACCATCTTCACAAATGAGATTAAGGCAAACAGTGCTCTATTCACTCGGTTGTACAATGCCTTACCATTTCGAGCTCTTCTCGAAGTTTATACACATAAGTTTCTTTGTCAGCGATCATATCTTCTAAGCTCTTGTATCGCAGCTTCTTTCGAGCGCGACACTCTCGGGCAGATTGCCTACTTCGCTCCAGTTTTGCTTCCAAGTCGATTTTAGAGGGTCTTCTGCCTCTCTTTTTACCACATGGCTTTTTAGTTGAGTTCATCTTTGAAGATTTCTCGTTTAGGGAGTCTAAGAAGGGTGAATCAGAAGAAGAATTGCTATCAACCGAAGAGATACTATCGTGTTTGGTCCGACGAGTAGCAGACCACGAATACTTCATTCCCTCCTGTACGGTCGATCCGTCGATTTCTGCGGCTGTGGTCTCTTCGTATGTATTGCTTTTGTTATGACAGGACGAGACGACAGCCATGCACGGCTTATCAACAATCAGGAATTATTAGAAAAACAAAATTTCTTTCGCGAGAAGAGGGCGCCTTTATGTACGTGTACGTGGAAAACTTCGCTGTGCACCGATCAAAACAAAGTGATGTAATGTTATGGCTAGTGATTGACAGGTAAAATAAACTATTGATCCTCGTGTGATTGGACAAAATTTCAGTATCTGGGCAACTGTTTGAGAAACATTCAGTGCAAGAACCAATGAAAAGTTAGAAATCAGCTTGTTACGCAACATGTGACGTTCTTGGCGGGAAGTGGGTGAAGCGGGGCGCACTCATGACTGTCACATGATGATGACGAAGCAGACCTAGGCACAGAATGAATAAGCACTGAAGGATATAATTAAATAATGGGCTTTTTCCTAATTTGGGAAGAGCTTGGAAGTGAACCCTCTAAAGGGACTACTCGGTATGAGACTGGTCACGAAAATATTCATGACGACCTGCGCAGGCGTGGAGGCTAATTTGAATGGTTCGAAATGTGAAAGAAAACTCGACAAAAACAAATCTACTCCTAAAGAGTATTTTGTTCCTTTAGTTCGCTTTGATGTCCCGAGTCAAAGGAACAGAATATTTTAAAGGAAAATGGCCAGCACGAATTCTTCTTTTCCTTTAGAAAGCTGGAAGTACCATCTAAATCTAAGTGGCTTCTTGCTATGGTTTTGACACTTTGTATGTTCAGCGCACGTTTTTACAAGTCAGAGTTCAATATGGTGTTTTACGAATCAAAATTGAGCTTGTATTGGACGTAATGGATATTTGAGGCTTGCACAAGAGAGAGAATTATCCATGGAAGACGCAAAAGTGGAAAATTCCCGTTATAATGTGATTCCTGTGACCGACTACGATCCATTTGAGGTTTGTAGAATATTGTTAAGAAAACCATGTCAAATCCTTGAGGTACAGATTCCTTAGCTTTTGGCAAATTATATATTATTGATGAAGAACTTCACGCGAAAGCCACCGTACAAATTCCTGGGAAGCAAAGCGAAGGTTTGATGAACATTTTCAAGCGCAAAGTTGTATATCGTTACTTTTTTCTCCTTGAGTGAAGAAATTCAAGGTTTCTTGGGTGAAGGATCGTTTCATCTAAGGAGCGTAATCGAGTCAACATGATTGGATTATTGTGTGTGACAAATGTACGTCAACCAATTTGCATTTTGGTTTTACTTTTCGATAAAAATCGCCGATCAGAAGCGGTTATTCAAATACTCTTGAAAGTCTCACGATACGACGTACGCGTGTTCACCTGTTATTCACTAATTAAGTTCTTTAAAACTTGTTAAGTTGTTCTATACGAAGTGTTCTTGCTGTGTGAAAGCTTTTAAGAAGTGATACGCTTACAATATCTGGAATACATACGTGAAATTTACGGTGAAATTATTGAAACTTTTTTTTTTAGCACTCAAAAGAAACTTCAGTCTAAGTATCTGTGAGGACAGATAATTAATTTTGAAAGGAAATACCTCACGTTATTATACACTGATGTTAGTACATGAGTGAATCAAATTGTCAACAATGTTTTGGCTCCAACTCACAGTGTTGTTAGGAATGCCTCTAGAAGTAATAGTAGTCTGGTTTCCCAAACAAGTTACAATTCACAAGTTTTTTTAAAATCCTGGACACTTAATATCACTAATATGAAAAAAAGAAAATGACTTGACTTTCCAGACCTTAGGTTCAAAAACTTGTAGCAAGTCATTTCTTTAATTATATGAATCTATTCTTTCACGATCTAATGTTTTTTTTAAGAAATAAAATTTAACTCTAAGTTAGTAATTTACTTACTTGGTCATTTGTTTACAGGCAAAGTTTGCAGCATCCCTTTACTGGTTGGTGTTTCGTGCCACTGAAGATGGAGAGTTTGAAAATATCCCCTCTCAAGTTACCAGTCCTATTCAGAGGGATTCGGAGGTACACAATTATTATGCAGTCAGTCAGATAAGGCAATATTATATATCCTTAAATACACAAATTATTAAAATTCACAAAGGTTTCAATACCAGTCACATAGAGGGCTGATCTTCTAAATTATAATGCCCTAGCTTCTAATTTTCATTGATCTAAGTCATGACCATTTCGGCTGCTGTGGCATGTAGAAAAAAATTTTGCAACTTAATTTTAAGTGACAATACCAGTTTGTGGTGGTCAAGTACATTTAGTAAGCTGTCACATTTTCATTTTTTTCATTTTTACAAGGCACATGACTATATGACAAAGTTATCAATACCTTCTTACAATATCATCCCTAAGTCAATCATTAACCCTTTAACTCCCAAGATCTGATTGTTAATTCTCCCCTCTGGCTGTTACACGTTTCCTTGTAAATTAGTTATGAGAACTTGGTTCTAGATCAAGATAACAGCTTCTACCTGATAAGTTTGAATATTCTCATCACCTGTTTGCTGAAGAATGTATAGATATTGTAGGGAGAAGTTTTACGTTAATCACTTCTGGGAGTTAAAGGGTTAAGGCCACAAGAGTTAAGAAAATGATAAACTAAAGAAGCTCTTGATTGTTAAAACAATTCTCCCTGTCAGCACCTTATTAAATATTTAGAGAACAGTACAGAGAATATGCATACTGATGTTATGCTTAGGACTTCATCTTTTCACCAGTCTCATTATGCCTTATGTTTTATCTCAATAGAAGCGTATAACTGTTCGTCCAGAGGTAACAGAATTCCTCACCAAAGGTGAGATCTATTGCCAGGTCTGCAATAGTATCTTTCATGGAAAAGCTCCTGTGGTGGGTCAGTGGGCTGTTCTCCAGACTCTGTCACGCCATGGATTTTACGTGGTGGAGGAAGGTGACATCGCTGTCACAGATTCTGCTTTGCAGCAGAAGAAACCATTTAGAAAGGTACCTTTTGTAAGATTAAAAAATTTAACTAAGGAAATAATCATTACAGGTTAGTTGCAATCAAAAGAATTACAGATATGGCAGCCTAGCCACAAGGATCATTTACTTAAATATTATGTGCAGGTGAAAATGTTATTTATTTCATTTATTGTATTTCAAGATATTAAAAAAAATTTTGTAAAGCTCATTCTCAATACAAGCTGGGGAAAAAGATAAACCTTGAATCCCCACGAAGAATTGAATCTCAGACCTTCAGATTCCATGGTGTGATGCTCTACCACTGAGCTACAGAGACTCTACTGTTCTCTTTTTGTCTCACCTTTGTGATAAGATGAAAAAAGTTATCTTTCTCTATTTCTTTACTAACTAAAGATAAAAAAAAAATGATAATAAGTCCAGTCCAGTCGAGAGTAGCTCAGTGAAGGATTATTTTTAGTTGTGGTGAACAACTAACATTTCATCAATCTTCACTTATGTCCAGAAATTCACACAGGAGCAAAAATGGCAGATTTGACCAAATTTTGTCAAACTGAGTGAATGTTAATGGATTTGACGATTTTGGCCAATTTTTAGGCAAATTTGTCAAAACAAAATCTGCTCGGCAAAATTGACAAATTTTAGTCAAATTGATTGAAGTGAAATCAACTCAGCCCATTTGACAATTAGATGAATTTTTGCCATTTTTGTTACTGCATGCATTTCTGGACATTACAACCTTAACCAATGTCAATCATATGGACCTGATAAAGGGGGGTAAGTTTCTTAGAAAACTGTGGTGCTGCGCCAGTGGTAGAGGATAACAAAGATAATTTTGTTTTAGCAATTGAGTTGAGAGTGAATGGAATGACGGAGGGTAAATGCTTGAAATGCCAGCATAGAAACTCTTTATGGTGGCCAAGGTAGATTATCACTTCAGCTGATTAAACCAAATGATCTTGTCATAGGGACCTGATGTTTGGAATGATTTACCTTACTAGCAACAAGGGATGCTGTATGTATTCTGTTAATTGCAAAATTTTGTTTCTCCAACATGTTTTTAGTCAACTCATCTTGCTTTGATGGACTGCCTCATGAATGCCTTCTCTGCACAGGCTGTTAGTGTTCCACAAGTTGTGCAGTGTGTCAGGTAATTTACACAGGTCTCAAATAGGAGAGTGTTATAATGCTCCAACTTTTAAAGATAGTATCACTCCTGACTTCACTCCAGACTTCTCTTGGGAGTCTCATGAAAAAAATGGAGGTGGGGTTCCTTTAATTGCAGTTGTTATGTGAGATTCCCCTTGGAAGTTTTCTATTGTTTGTTAGTTGCCACATGCAAAGGGGGGAATTTATCAAGTACTGTATTTTTTAATTTTTTGTTTATCATTTATGCTGTTCACTTTTCTTTGATTTATCAGCAAACAGTTTAAAATGCAGAAGATGGAAATGATAATCAGGAATTAAAATATTACAACCATACTGACAGTTGTGGTTTTAAGGGTTACCCTTACTAAAAGTCATTGGCATGAAAACTTAGGTAAAAATAGTAAAGTCAGCAATCAAGCCAGGTGAGTCATTTGTGGAACCTTATCCCAGTTTTCTTAGGATGAAGCAACTAGGAGTATTATTGTATCCTTCCCTGGTTGGGATGCCAGTCTATGGCAGGTTTCCATTCCCAGTGTTTCATCCTGTTTTCCCTCCATTTTTCTAATACTCATAATATATAGATTTAGCCAAGCCTAAAGTGGAGCTCCATTCAATGCCTTGCCCTGGCCAGTGTTTCATCCTGTTTTCCTTCCATTTTTCTATCACCCATATTATAACCAATGTGGTTAAAAAAAAGGGAGTCCCCTCCCCACACAACAGGACTCTAATGTTTGACTCAAAATATGTTTTTTGTTGATACCCACAGTAAATTTTCATCATTCAATGCTTCTAAAGAGCTACCATTTGATCTGGAGGATGCACTCCTTCTGTGGATCAACAAAATCTCAGCAGTGTTGAATGAAAATCAGCTGAAGAAGCAGAAGCAACATGCAGAACAACTTCTACAGAACCAAGACAAAGCCAAACGATTCAGGTTTCGCCGTGATCAACTGCAGCCAAAAGTGCAGACAGTATTTCCTTTGATGGAAGAACTTTTGAAAGATGTCAGTGATGGAAAAAGTTTGCTTGGGATTATAATGTTTTATCATCCAACAGTGATTAACATTGAAGGTACATTGTGATGTATAATAATGTAAA